GAAAATAAAAAAAGTAGGAGATATATATATATACTCTTTATATTATAGTTACGCGGCCGATATATAAGCGATACCGTAACGGTTACTTAGTAGTAACCGCTAGTATAATAACTATTAACGTTATAGAGCATAGACTAACGTATACTTATACGAGCGTATACGCGCGATATATAACCGAAACTACCTCTCTTCCTAACTAAATATATATAGCGTAGCGAAAGTAATATATATTAAAGATATAGCCGAGACGTTTATATAGGAGGGGAGATAATTATAAGAGCGCTACTAGGAGGTATAGGCTAATAAAGCACTTAGGTATATAGTACTAATATATCGGTAGGGTATCGGTAGGGAATCGTGCCTACCCCGCTTATATATTATAGACTACTCGCTACTCTAACTAAAGAGGAGAAATCCCTCTTCTCGTAAGCTTTAGTCTTATAATAAGGAGAATATAATATATATAGCGTAGTACCTCTAGCTATCTCTACTACCTAACTAATCGTACCGTAATATATATTCCCTTATAATAGTTAATAAGGAAATTTTTATTCGATACTATATACTTAGTAGCTCTAGTATTATAAATAAAATTAAAGATCCTTTTATTCTTATAACTAAGAAATCCTTTTTTTCTTACCTTTAAAACTAATTCCTTTATTCTAGGAATCGAGGCTTCTAGAGGTCCTAAAAAAAAGTCTTTATTAGCTTCTACTATAGGGGTATTTTTAGAGGTTAAAATTACCTCTAAATTCTTAGACGTTTATATAGGGGTCGGAGCCCTAGAAAGGTCTATAAGGTTAATATCTAGGTCTATATTTTCTTATAAAGCTATATTTAAGACCTTATTACTATCGTCTAAATCGGACTTTAGCTCTATAATTTAAGCCTTCCTTCTTTTATTAGTAGTAGAAATACTACTAAAAGGGGATTTCTTTCTAAAAAAAGAAGATAAAAAAGAAGATTTTCTCTTCTTAGAAATTTAAGTCTTATTATTCTTTTTTCCTTTATTTAAAACCTAATAAGTAGGAGTCTTATTTAGGTATAATTTATAGCAATTTACTATAAAATGCCCTGGTTTTTTATATTCCTTATAATAAGGAGTATCTATAGAATTTCTATAGGATTTCTAAGGCTTCCTTTATATTAAGAAGGCTTTCTTTAAAGATTCGTCTATATCTTTTATTCTTCTAGCTTCGTCTAAAAGACTAGCTATAAGGGTTTCGAGGGTAAACGCTATAGAATTATACCTAAGGCTCTATATAATATTTATAATATAGCTTTTAAATTCCTTATTAAGGCAATTAAGAATCTATACTATAAGAATAACTTCTAGAATTTCTATATTATAGGATTTTAAATCCTTATAGATTTCCTTTACCTTATAAAGGTATTTCTCTAAATTAAAGTCCGAGGGACTAAGATTAAAGAGCTGCTTAATAAGTAGATAATTCGACGAAAAGTTCGACGGATTATATAGCTTTTTAAGCTCATCCTACGCTTTTTTAGCATTTTTTAGATACTAAATTTATATTAAGGGACTATCTTTAACTTAAAGGAATATTATAAATAAAGCCTCTATAGTCTATATATAATTTACTTACTTTAAAGCAGTAATAAGCTTTTCTTTTATAAGGATAGCTTCTATCCTCGTAGTCTATAAGGTATAATTTAAATTTCCCTTAAGTCTAGTAAATTCGTATTCTTTCTATTTACTTATTTTATATAAATTTAGTATTATTTCGTTTATAGGGATTAAGAAGTCTAGACGGGAGTTTAAGAGCATAGGAAGGTAAAAGAAGTTAGAGGGAATTTCGAAAGGAATTTTAATTGAATATTTTAACGAGGAATTTTAAAGGTATAAGTAGTTAATTTCCCGGCTTAAAAGGAGTAAGCTAGGCTTATAACCTCTTAAGGTATATAAGTAAAAGCGGAATTTTAGGAAATTAAGGAATTACGTAAGACTATATAATAAAGGGGAAGAAGGAGTATAAGGTAGGATTTTTAACGGAATTTATTAGTAGTATATTAATATATAGAAGAGGTATTAAAGTTAATAATTCTCTATCTATCTACTAGCGGATATACTATCTTATATAGATAATTATAGCTAAATAAAAGAACCTTTTAGGACTAGATTTAAGCTGCCGTATAGCCCTAAGACTAGGGAGTTCCGTAATACCTCGAGTAAATCTAGAAGTATCTTAGTTCTACTAATATTTATGTTTAAAGGAGGTTAGTCGTACCGGTATTCTTAAGAGGTCTTAGCTAGTATTTTAAGCTAGCTCTATTCCTTCGATTCCCGATTATACGATAACCGGCAACCCGTTTAATATATAATAATATATAAAATAACGAGCGATTCTTACTCTATAGGATAAGATTTTATCTATAATTAATATACTACTTATTAGCTTATATAATCGGGAGAGTATATTATAGCTACTTTATTTATAGTAGGAACACCGTTCCTTATAGGGACGAAGGCATTATTACTGCCCCCGGCGCCCTATTCGAAGAATCCGATAATATAGAGATAACTAACCTTATCGGACAAGGTATATTTAGCTTTAAACGATACGATTAAATAATTCACGGTAACCTTTATATCTTTTACTCCCGAATAGTTCGTAAAGTTAAGGGTAAAGATACTAAGCTATACGAAAAATCGAGACTTATTATTTAAGGATATAGCGACTTTAAGAAGACTACTTTACTAATATAATCCCCGATAATTTAACGTATTAGTTAAAGCCTTATTCTAGCTATCGCCCTTAGACTTATTTAAAGTAATAACTTAACCCTCTTACTCCGCGATATTACCTAGGCATATCTATAATCCTATACCGAGTTATTCTAGACTATTCTAACCTATTTGCCTACTAAACTATAAGGTAAATACCCTAAAGGAACGATTATTTATATTATAAAGCCCCTATATAGTATTATAAAAGCTAGAGTCTATTAGTTTTATATATATTAGTAATATTATATCTAAAACCTTAATATATCTATATTAATATACGACTCCTACCTTTTAATTATAAATACTAACCGCGACACGTTTAGTATTATTAGAATATAGACTAATAATACCCTTATACTTAGAACTAATAGCTTTTCTACCTATAAAGAAGAAAAGCTTAAGGATATATAATTTCGAGTAAAGCTAAAGACGTTAATAACCTTAGGAATAATAGTTAATTTTAATAGTATAAAACTAACCTTACTAGACATAGGATCCCTATTACTTTAGCGGAAGGGATAAGTAGCTAAGATTATTACTATTAACCTAAAAGCATTTAATCGATACTAACGCTACGTCTAGGAAAGAGCCTAAGGATTATATATTGCTTTAATCTATTAACCTAAAGCTTTATTTAATATCTTAGTTATAGCTTAAATCTAAGCCCCTAACGATAAGGATTATACTATCTTAAATAAGCGCTTATAATAGTAAATAGATTACTAATAACGAGGCCTTATATATAAGCTAATTAATCTAGCTACCGTAAAGCTTATTATTTTTACCGACGGATCTTTTACGAATAATAAGGACCTATCCTCCTAGCTAGGATTCGTTATTACGCTTATTAACGAGACTAATAGTAGAGATAAATAGTTTAAGATCGAAGGTAATATCGTATATTAAAGTTCGACTAAGTATAAACGTATTACCCGTAGCGTTCTTACCTTAGAGATCTATAGGATAGTTAATAGATTCGATATCGGAATATCGCTTATAATAACTTTAAAGATAATTATAGACCGCCTTAGATTTCCTTCTATCCCTCTTATCGTTTATACGGACTTATATTCCCTTTATAAATGCCTTATTAAACTAGGCACGATAAAGGAGAAACGATTAATAATCGATATTATAGCCCTTTATTAGTTATACGAGTAACGGGAGATTACGGAGATTCGTTAGATTAACGGTATAGATAACCTAGCTAATACTATAACGAAGGCATTACTAAACTAAGCCCTCGAACGCTTTATTAATACTAATAGTCTAATAATTTAAATAGAAGGATATATCTCGCGCCCCTAATCTATTAAGTAGCTTACGATTAAATTGTTCCTATAGTTAAAGGGCTCTATTTCCCCTTTTTAGTTATTATAACCGACCTATTTAACTAGGTCCTTCCGGTTTGCAAAGTTCGTTATTATAACCTACCTAACTAGGTCTTCTTACCTCGTTCGTTATAGTAGCTGCAACTATAAAAGAAAAGTTACTAGTATAGGAATTATAGTAACCTATTATACTTATCTAGCTAGCTCACGTGCGCTATCACGTATACGGCTGAGGATAGCTGAGGCTATATAGCTAGCTTCGTGGCCTCCTCCCTTCCTAGAAGATTATAGACGATTATAACACACTAGTTACCTCTATTATCTATATATGCATGCATTAAGACCTACCAATATATATATATATATATATAGTTTTCTAAAAGTTATATAAGGCTTAGCTTAGCGCCTTCCCTCCTAAGCTTATAACTATTATATTAAATACTACTTAGCTAAAATAAGGGCACCCCCGAGTAAGAGTAACATTAGTGCTTATTATATCTCCTGCTAGTCTCGTGACACACGTCATTTTTGCTAGGCAAAAGTAGAGTGCACAGTCCAGCAGGTGGTGCTGCGAGTGACCGTACCGTGGCTCAGCCTCGTCCAGGGGCCGTGACGCACTCGACTCGAACGGCGGCCGCGCAATTCTGGCGCGCTCAAGGGAGTACCCGGTACTTTGCTCGCTCTCGCTGGATACAGAATGCTGCGGTCCCCTATCACCGGTTACTAGGTAACTTAAGGGTGCCCCCTCTGGAACGTTGCAAGTGAGAGTCCACTCACGCATCTTGTTCCAACGTCTGTCCCTCCCTACCTACGAGACGCCGACGGCTCAGCCCGCAAACATCTCTCCTCCGCCTCTCCACCTGCGACGACTGCACTGCGGTTGGACCGACGACACACCCGTCGACTCTCGGCGGCCGCCCACGATGCTCGACGACAACCTCCCGACCTTTCGCCTCCAGCCCTGCCCCGACGACCCCCTCCAAACCCTCGTTTACTATGCCCACAACGGCTCCGAGCCCGCCGCTACATACCTGCTCAAGCGCCCGTCGCCGCCCTCGTCCCGGAACCAGTTTGCCCTCGGCCTGCTCGACGCCCAGCTGCCCTCGCTCGTCTACGCAGAGGTGGCCGTGAGGCCCGAGTGGACGCATCCGACCCTCTCGGCCGCAGAGGTGCGCGCCTCCTCTTCCTCCGCCTCCCCCTCGCCCGCCCCCGTCACCCCGGACTCGTTTGCCGTCTCGCTCTACGACCCGGACATGGCCGTCACCGTCAAGCACCGCCCGGGCAGCTGGAACAAGTCCGAGGCCTGGGAGTTTGAGGTGCCCGAGCGCAGCTTCAGGATGCCCAGCGCCAGCCGCATCGACCAGGACAGCGCCGGCGCCCAGCTTGCCGCCCTCGCGCCCAAAGTCGTCTTTCGCTGGAAGCGCGACGGCAGGCTGAGCAAGGATATGACGTGCTACATGTCGGGCAGGAGCGTCGGCGGCAAGAAGAGCAAGGAGCCCGACATCACCGTTGCCATGTTCCGCGCCGCCAAGAACGAAGGCCTCGTGACCATTTACGAGCCCAACATGGCGCGCGTCGACATCGAGGACCTCAAGGGCCTTGAGCTGTCCCTCATCCTCGGCTCCGTCGTGATCAGGGATCTATACCTCGCACCGCGCCAAGATGCCTTCAACGTGGCCGGCGCCTCTGGCCTGACCCAGGTCAACGGACAGCGGAAAGGCTCGGGCTCCCGGCCCCCGCCGCAGGCCACCACCTCCTCGCAGCCCGTATACGCATCCGGCGCCCTGGGCATCCCCCCCCCGGCATCACCGCCCGCGGGCCGAGACGCGCGCCAGCACGCCGAGATCGAGGCCGAGACCAAGCGGCTGCAGGCCATGGTCGCCCAGGAGAACCGCAAGGCGCGGGAGCGCGAGAAGCGTGACGCCGAGGAGCAGAAGCGCATCAAGAAGATGCTTGAGGACGAGGACAAGGAGCGTCGCCGGCGCGAGGCCGAGGTGGAGCGCGAGACGGAGCGGCTGCGCCGGGAGTACGGCGTCCCGTCAGCCCCCGGCGCGGGCGGACCCTCTCCGGCGCTGCCCCCGAGGACGGGCCAGAGCCAGCTACCTGCCCGGCATAGCGGCGGCTGGTGAGACTGGCGGGCGCACAGAGTCCAGTGACATGATGAAAGCATTTACGTACTGCAGATCTGGCCCGGTCAAGAGCGGAGCTGCTCGAGATGAGCGTTTTGGAGTTTGGCGGTTCTATATCGATGATTTCAATTGCGTTCCAACATGGCATGTGAGTCGCTGAGAGGCAGGTGAGGCGTGGATGGATGGGGCTGATTCATGTATGTGGGAGAATGGAGGTAGATATCTAGTACACTCCGTGGCTACTTTTTTCTACACATCCTAGCGACACGGGGATTTTAACGGGTAGTATTCAACACGCAGAGTTTGCGCATAGTAGGCCTAGAGCTGACGGGAAGCCGAGCTCCATACACCAGCCGCACTCCAGGATCCGCGTCACAAGTGTAAGAAAAGAGACAGGACCTCGAAGCCGTGCGCTTCACGTCTCGGCTTGGGTTCTCTTCGCCCAGGAGGCCGTCCGGGCTGGTTGGAACGAGTTCCGACACAAGTGGATGTTGGGGCGGGCGCAAATGCATCAGGGATAGGAAATGCGCCAACACATCTCGGCGTCTGCTTCCCGGTTCTAAATCGATAGATGACGCCGCTTCCGCTCGGTCGTCACGGCCGTCCAGACCGGGCCTCGCCACGCCTGCTTCTCGGATGTCACACCCCCCGTTCGCCATCCCACCGCGCCGGGCAGCCATGCCTATGCCCGCGGCCAGTCACCGCGCCTTGATCTTCTCGAGGCGCAGGTCGTTGATGATCATGTACCTGCTAAAGACGATGTACAAGTGGCGGAACCAGACCATCTGGCTCCTGTGGGCGTCGGTCATGGCCCTGCGCGCGGCGCCGAGCCCGCCCTCGCCGACGAGCTGGCTCATGAAGAGCAGGCCGCCCGGATGCGCGCGGTCGTCGTGGCGGACGGCGAGGGCCCAGGCGGCGAGGGTGGCGAAGACGTCGGCGGCCGAGGCATACTTGCGCGCGAGGCCGACCGTGGTGAGCGTGTACAGGTCGACGGGGCTGGCCCAGCCGGCCTTGCCGCGGACAAGGGCGGCGGCAAAGGCGCGGGCGCCGTGGTAGAGGGAGATGTGGTTGGGGTGCGCCGAGACGCCGTGGGCGTCAAAGGTGATGAGGATGTCGATGTTGGCCGTGGGGCGGGCCGAGTCGTCGGCGCGCTGGCGGGGGAGCTGCGGGGCGAAGGCGCTGCAGAGGAGGTTGGAGATGGCGTCGCGGTCCCACGTCCTGGTCATGGAGTCGGGGAAGTCGGTGCTGAGGGGGGAGGGCGGCCGTCGTCAGCTTGTGGTCAAAGTCGGAGAGGAGGAGGCGCCCACGGATTGTCCACGACAAAGACGTCGTCTGGGTCTCTGAGGCCCAATTGCATGCCGCTCTTGATGAGCTCCTTTTTTCTCGTCTCGCCGAGCCCGTCCGCGTTACCTGTTGTATCGCGAAAGGAGGGGACGCGAGAGAGGGTTGCCCATTAGCCCAGACTGCTCCGTTAACGACCCCCCAGCTGCCCACGGCCACTCCTCCTCCGCCTCCTTCTCCTCCTCTTCATGGTGCTAGAAGATGGGCCGTACCTGTGCTCAGACACAAGATCTTGACGTGATTGCCCGTCTCGGGCCGGGTGAGGGCCAGCAGGGTGGGCGCAAAGAACATGGCCTCGTCGTCTGGGTGGGCAATCAGCAGGCAGATGCGCTTGTTCCTCAGGGCCGGGAAGCGCGCCTGCACGACGCTGGCCGTGTAGACGTACAACAAGGGCACCACCACCACCAGCGTGGCCACGATGCCCAGGGTGCGGTCCATTGCTGGCTGGCTGGCCGTTGCTCAACCAACGATGCGCGCGCCCTTTCCTGTGTGCAGATCAGATTCGATAAGGTCTGGGTGAACGCAAGCAAGCAAGCATGTATGAGGAGAGAAGAGCAACTCTCGCGCTCTCTCGTCGGTGTGGTCCTGGTTGGCGGAAGATGCCACCTTGCGCGCGCGAGAACCCCCTGCGATGTCCGAGCTTTCTCCAATTTGCCCGCGACTGCTCCCCCCACTGGTCGCCACCTTGTAGTTAATTTCTGGCGTCGTTGTCAACGGGTGTCTCGTCCAGGTTCGAGAGGGAGGCATGCTGATGAGAAGCCGGAAAATGAGGCGCAATGGATTGAGGTCGTGTCCGCCGGAGAGGTAACTTACCTCGCGATACAGTGAGGTACGTGCTCGGTACAAGTTGTACAGTACCTCTACATGCTGGGGCTAGCTCAGCGCCATCGTCTTCTCCCCTTGATACCTTCATCTCCCTCACAAAACCCCCCTCAGGCAGACAGCCGCCATGGCCCGCCCGCGCAAGGAAAAGACGCCCGCCGGCTCCATCAAGCTGCGCATGCCCGACCGCTCCGCACCCACGGAAAAGACGCTCTTCGATCTCGCCGAGGAGCGCCACCTCTTCCAGCAGGCCGCCGTGCGCGAGAGGCAGAAAAATGACGACGCCGCCGCCGCCGCCATCGTCTCCCCCGGCGCCGAGCGGCTTCTCGAGGCTGCCCTCTGGACCGCCACCCTGGCCATGCTGCACTTTACGTTTGACGTCCTCGTGCACCATCAGTACGGCACTGAGATCGTCTGGCCCGCGCTGTTGGCGAGGACGGCCACGGCGTGGACGAGTAAGACACACTGCTTGTTGTCAATGATGGAACAGGATATATATATGCTGACGGCCACCTCCCCCCCAGTCTTCCTCTTCCTCTTCTACTTCCTTCACCCTCACGACTCGAGCCCCGTCCTCGTCCCCCTCATTCCCCTCCGCCATCAGCGCCCGCTGCGACAGGCCATCTTCTTCGCCATGAGCGTCGCCTCGGGCTGCCACCTCATCTACGTCTCCAACACGTACGGCTACCTCGCCACCATGAAGCAGGCCCCGCCACTGGGATGCCTCTGGCTCTGGGCCGTCGTCGAGCTCGACCTGCCCGCGGCCGTGCTCAGCCTCGTCTTGGCCGGCCTCTTCCTGCGGCAGGGAGGCTACGAGATCAAATGAGAACAGTCAAGTCGCCCCAAAAACGTCGACCCACGTGAAAGTTGCTCAGGCCTTCTCCACCACAAATCTCTCCGCCGGATCACCATTGAGCCTGTCGTAGCTTTCGCAGCCCGTCGCTTCTTGAGCTGCCATCCGCTGCACCAGCACCTCGAGCCGGCGAATCTCGTCCCTCTGGCTGTCCACGACTCCATGCGCCTTTGATGACGAGCCCCTCTCGCTTGCCGATTCACCGCCCCATTGCGCCTTGGCCTCCAGGTCCCGCAGCCGCGACGAAATCATGCTCATGTGCAGAAACTGCACCCTGGCTGTCAACGCCTCCCTCTGCCGCACCAGCTCAAGCGCCTTGGTCCTCACAGGCAGCCACGCCATGGCAACCGAGGGCCTCCCGCCCTGCCAGCTCCGCGGCACGAGCGCGAAGCCGGCTTCGTCGACGCGGCCCACCGACGCCCGTGCCTCGACCTCGGTCACCAGGTCCAGCAGCCGCTGCTCCAGGTTGAGCAGGTCGTCCATGACAAAAGCGTACATTTGGTGCTCCTTGCCGCGGACCCGCATCGGCGGCGGCGGCGGCGGTGGCGTGTCCCCGAAACCGTCATGGCTGTGGTGGTGCTGCGTGTCGAGGGCCGCCACCAGGTCGGCAAGCCACGCCGACTCTGTCTTGTACCACGACAGCGACGCCTTGACGCGAAAGTACTCGTCGTCGCTGTTGCGCAGGTACGCGACGCGCGCGTAGGCGGCCGCGGCCATGGCCACGACAAAGGTCAGGATGCCCACGACGTTGGACGTGATGGACAGCGGCGAGTCTTGTTGGCTGTTGGCGGCGGCCATGACGGTCAGCTCGCGAGGGAGCGGTGTGGTGAGGACGGGGTTGGATGCGATGATGTGTGTTGATGCCGAGCTTAACGTGGTGAACCAAGTGCGCGTCCACGATCGCCGTCCGCGCAGCATGCCTTCCTTGTGCGTTGCGCGGCAGATGTATGCCCAAGAGGGGCTGGCTTGTGCTAAGTCTTCCAAAACAGCAAGAGGAAAAAGCAAAAGAGAGCCTTGTCAGATCCGGGGGGCTGAAAGCCAGAGGCATCGAGTTTCGATTCAAGTCGTCACGTGATGGTTGCCTTGCCATCATCGCCACTCTTCCCTCTTGCAAGCCCAGTAAAGCCACAAGTGTTGAAGCAAAAGGGACGTGGACATCTAGATTCGTCGCTTGATGTGCTTGATGCATTCTTATCCGATGGATCTTGTATGCTAATCTACAATATGTGCAATGTCGCTCTATGCACACGCGCTTGCCGCGCGGGTATCAAACGTCATAAGCCCACCAGTCTCCCCTCTCGTCTCAGCCACTTCTTTAGTTCTGTGGACATCAAAACGGCATTCTTCCTCATCCCTTCGGTCGTAAATGGCATCAAACATATCGCAGTCGCGTCGCACTTTGTCGCCCCCTAATCTTTCTTTGCGCCCCGCTGCGGCTCGGCGAACCTAATACCTCTGCGCGCTGGCGGGACTCGCTCTGTGCCCTCATCCTCGCTGTCGCTGTCGCCCGCCATGCCCAGAGCTGCGTGCCGCCTTCGCCGCTCCGCGGGCGTCTCGCCCCCGTACTCGTCGTCGTCGGCGTCGTCTTCCTCGCCCTGATTCGCCAGCACGGCCAGGCGGCGCTTGCGTTCAACCGGCGTCTCCGTCTGATCCAGTTCCGGAGACCGGGTGTGGTGGCCCTTGGGCGATTCGCTCGACGAGGCGGATGCTTGGTGGCCCGGCGAAATCGACTTGGAGCGGCCGCGACCGATGCGGCTGCTCTCTCTCATGCTGTTGTCACTGCCTCTTTCGACAATGCCCGGAATGGGTTGCCCGCCGGCCATCCTCGCAGACGGCGGCCCTTCCTGCGCCAACTTCTTGATGGCCGAAGAAGCTGACGAGTGATCCACCACCTCCTTGCGCGTCCGCGCGTCGAGCTGTTGTACTTCTCGGATGAAGTCATCCTTGGTCATGCGCTGCCCCACACCGCCAATGGTGAATCTGATGTTCTTGTCGTCGTCCTCTTGGCCGACGCTCTTCCTCCTCGCCTGTCCGGCGCCGGCCCCTCTGCCAAAACCAGACCACCCTGATGACTTGGTTGCTGGCGTGTTAGAGGACGCCGCGCCGGCCTCGCCCTCTTCGGCCGTTGCTTCTGCGTTCCCCCCACCTGGCCGGGACTTTCCAGGATGCCGGACCCTCGCGCCGAGGCCGAGGTACTTTAGGCCTGACCCTATCAAGTCGCTGCCCTCTGAGGTCTCACCCTTTTGCGATGGCAGCTGGTACGTCTTGACGACCTCTCCGTCCCCATCTTCGACGATGATCTGCGAATGACACACAGTCAGCCATAAACGCTCTGCCACTGCAGGCTGGGCGAGGGAAGAGGGAGCGCTTACCGTGTTGCCAAATTGATAAGCCCGCGCCGGCTCGTGCCGCCTGTGGCTCTTGCCCTTTTCCTTTCGCTTCTCCACCTCGGAGCTATACACCTCGCTCATCTTACGCTTGAAGCCACCCAGTGACCAGCTGAAATGGTCGCTACTTGAGCTGGCCTTGGGCGCGAGGTTGGGACGCGGGAGCTCCTCGTTGCTCCGCTGGGGGGTTCGCTGGACATCCAGCACCTCTCCGTCCTCATTCTCGAAGACGATGTGATCGCCTTCATCATACACTTCAACGCGCGGAGGCGGGGCAGCTGACTCTCGCCGATGCTGGGCAACATCTTGACCGGCTTCCTCGGCCTTTGCCGCTTCCTCAGCCTTTTCCGGGTCCTTGTACTTGGGGCTATCGTCGGATAGAGTGGTCGAGTCGGTGGTTTCATGCCCAAGAGGCGAGGCGTCTTTTTCCGAGTTTGTGCTGACGGGAGCCGGACGGTTGGGAAAGATGGCGGATTGGGAGACGGGACCGCCAGGGCCTATCCCGTCGTCCCACTTCTTGTTCTTCCGCCTCCTCGAGACCAGGGAAGAGGCCACACTGCCTGAGCGCTTGTGCCCGTCGTCGTCCTTTTGCCGTCGCAGGAAGCCCATGGGGGGAGCCAGGGTGCCGGGCGGAAACTCGGGCTCCTTGCGCTCGTCAAAGGAAGCCTCGGACATCCTAGCCTGGGATCGAGACTGGGACGAGATTCTCGGCAACCTGTTCATCCACGAAGGCCCCTCGTCGGGAGCCGCCGTGTACGACATGGTCAAGGTCAAGGTGTTGATGCGCTTGCCGAGAGTGAAGACGGCAATGGAGGAGCCGTGTATGAGAATGGACGAGATGACGAGAAAGGTGACGATGGGCCAGACGAGGTAGATGAGCTTATAATTCTCCGCGCTCTCGGGTGGCAATTGGGCCAGCGGCACTGGCTCTTGGTGCTCGAGCTCGGCCCTGGCGAGGATGGCGACAAAGATTGCGCCGACGCCGATGGGGCCAAAGTGACCAGCAAACAGGGCTTCTCTCCAATTTTTAACGTCCGGTATGAAGGGTTTGAGGGCCATCATGATGGGTATGCGCCGGAAGAGGAGGACAAAGACGGCGATGACGACGAGCCGCCAGGCCTGCATGCCAAAGACGTTGTTGTTGTACTGCTCCCAGGGAATGATGGTGCCAAAGTAGACAAAGTAGGCCAGGTTGAGAAGCAAGTCGATGACGTTGGACACGTGCGATTCCTCCGTCTTCTCGCCAAACCAGCCGTCGTTAGAGAAGCCGACACCGCACGAGAAGCCGACGAGCAGGTCGTCGAGGCCGAGAATGCTACCAGAGCCAGCACAGAAGAGGGCGACGACGAAGTAGAAGACGAGGAAGCTCTCGCGGTCGACGAGGTCGTGCTTTTCGGCGTACTTGATGCCGTGGCGGGCAATGTAGCCGAGGATGAATCCGTAGATGGCACCAAAAATGCACTCATAGAGGATGACGTAGACAACGAAGTGGAAGGTGACCTCGCGGGCATCTCGGTGGTACTGGATGAGGTAGAGGGAAAGGTAGATGAAGGGAAAGGCCATGCCGTCGTTGCAGCCCGACTCGGCGGAGAGCAGGTCACGCAAGTGTTTGGGGACGCGCTTTGCGAACTTGCCCTTGCCGACGACGGAGGATGCAAGGACAGGGTCGGTTGCGGTGACGCAGGCCGAGATGACGAGAGACTCGAGCCAGTCTAGGGGCGTGATCATCCACCAGATGAAGAGGCTGACGAGGAGCCAGCCGGCGACCATGACGGGGACGAGGAGGAAGACGACGGAGCGCCAATGCTTCTCCATATAAAACTTTGGCAACTCGACGCCGATGGCGAAGCACTGGACGACGAGGACGATGCGGGAAAACTCGAGGGTGACGATGTCGACGCTGCCCCATTCGTTGGGGTTGATGAGATTGGCGGCATGGGGCCCGAAGATGACACCGCAGAGGGTGGCGACGGTAGCTTCCCCAATGTACATGCGCTCCTTGATGAAGGAGGAGCAGAGCATAAAGAGGGAAGTGAAGCCGCCGAGGATGATGTAGACCAAGTGCGGCTTGGTGATATCGAGATGGGACCAAGCCATCTTGACAGGCCACGAGAGAAGGCTCGCGAAGCCAATTTTGGTTGTTCTATCTGTTGCCTTTGCGCGTAATTATATGGATTTCGATCAAGGTTCCAATTGCTCCGTCCCGTCTTTGCCGTAGCGATGTGTCGTGCAGTCGGCGCGGCGTAGTCGAGGCTGTTATGGGCGGTTTCGTGGGCCGGGGCTCGGTATGAGAGAGTTGACAGGCAATGGGTGGCTATCTCTTGACGGGCCCGCCAATCGATGTCGAGGCGAACGCGACGCAGTTTGGAGACATGCAGGGTCGGATTGGCGGCGACAGGCACGACGAGGGTGCAGGACGGCCAGTTATTGTAGGGTGCCGGATCCGATCGCGTGGAGAAGCTGCAGAACATCCGAGACACGAGCAGAAAACGAAAGAAGCAAAATACAATAGAGAAAGGTAAAGATTGGTCAAGAGCTATCCCTGCAATGGGAAATTGAGCAGACGACAAAATCGGGAGCAAAGGTCTCGGGAAGAAGGCGATGGTCGGGTGCGGCGGAGCTCCGCTAGTCGGTGGCCGGAGCGGGCGACGTCGACAATCGGCGGACGAGGGAGGCGGCTATGCGGCTCTGGCCGGCGATTGAGAGGGAGGGCGCTCACGAGGGTTCCTTGGGTGCAAGAAAGGACAGGTGAGACGCAGCCAAGCTGCCCGCACGCGAGAGTTAAGAGCAGGGCGGGCGGGCCAGAGAAGGAGGCCCGAGGAGGGGTGGGGGAGAAAATAGGAAGAATAAGGAGACGCGATGATCAAAACAGGAGCTTGTCGAGACGAGACGCGGCGAGGAGAGGGGGGGATTGGGCCGAAAAGGGTGGGCGAAGGGCGGAGAAGAGGTGCAGAGGCAGTGGCGGAGAGGGAGAAAGGATAGTCTTGACAAATGACTTGATGAATCCGCAGAAAATCAAATAAAAGTAAAATTGTAAAAATGGAAGCCGCGGCGGAGACCGCACGGAAAGAAAAGGGAAGGAAGAGGCCGCTATTGACTGATGGCCGACGCCGAAAGTACGGTACGTATGTGCCTCGAGCACGCCTGAGTACCTGGCTGGTACTTTGTTTACCCATGCTTCCACTCAAGGTCTCGCAACCTCTGGGCAGCCCCAGTTTACTGCTCTCCGTGCAGGCTGAAAACTGGGCCCATCCACAGGGCGGGAGCCGCTGGCTGATCTATTCACAATGGCCGCGGCGACTTGAAAGTAACTCTGGCCAACCAGCTCAAGCACGCGGGGACTAGGTAACAAGCACAAACAAGCCGTGGTGGCCCGGGACGTCCACTTCTCTCCGTACCACGGCGGCGCGGGCTAAAAAAAAACAAGGGGCAAAGAAGCAAGGTTTTCCACGAGGATTTCAGATGGCCGTCGATCGCACCGGTCTTGGCGACCGATAGCGGCGGGGACGGCCCTGCCCTTGGGGGCGCTGAGTTGATACAGCGGGAGACTGGCGGCTTATGGGACGACGCTGGGAGCTCCGGAGGCGCCGGCGGGCCTTGCAGCAGCAGCAGCAGCAGCAGCACGGGCAGCAGCGGCCGGCGGGCTTCTGCGCCTTGTTCTACGCCTCCGCCGTCAGCTCCCGCTTCGTCGATGCACCAGCCAAGGCCCAGACGCCCGCCGCCCGCGTGGCCTGCTGCGCTCTCCTCTCCGTTTCCCTTCTTCATCCTGCTTCCATGTGTGTTTGTGTCCCCAAGTCGCGCCTCTTCAGTAACACATGACGGAAGGAGAGGCTGACGCCGCCACTCGCTCCTATCCACCGGGGCCAACGTGAGCGAGACGAGAGAGAGGCAGAGGATGTGCTGCATGTACCCCGGCCACGGTGGCGTCCATAGCCTACCCCAACTTTCTTCTCTCGCGACCGTGGAAAGAGGGGCCATTCGGGCGCGCACACCGCCCTCGCGATATCGTCAGCTAGAGGGAGAAGAAGGGGAAGAAGAAAGCATAGAGACAACGGATGATTACCCCAACGACAAGAGGACAGCTGTCGCCGTGGACGGGCAAAGAGCTGTCGTTGGTTCATGCAAGATGCCCGATGGAGGCGTCGTGGCACGTTTCCACAGGCAGCATGGCTTGGCCCGCCCCGACTCTTCACTGCCGCGCCTCTTGGGAAGATCCGAGTCGAGAGCTTTGGAGCAGGCACTGCCGCATCCACGCACACGCCTAGGTCCTGCGTCGAACTACTACAGATGGGCTTTGGCGAAGCTCATTGCGGCTAGCAAAGGCCCTCGGCTCTCGCCTTCCTCTCGCCTTACTTGCTCTCGCCTTCCTTGCTCTCGCCTTCCTTCCTCTCACCGACTTGCCGCTGTCATCAACAAGCTTAAACGCCATCGGCTCTCATCCTTGCCCGATAAGCCCCGCCTCCCGTCTTCCAATGTACAGTATGTACTTGGCGTGTACTGCACAGTTACCCAATCCCTCCTCGCATCCCGCCCCGTGGCTTGCATATCGCAACGTCATGTCCCCCACGCCCCCGGACCCCCGGCCCAGCACCGTCTCCCTCCTAGAGAGGCCTCGGCTACCGCGCAGACCCATCCCCATCTCGGCCTCTGCCAGCTCGTGGGCCACGGAGAAGTACGGATCCACCGTACAGCACATCGTACATAGACGCCGTAGATCCAATGGCTCAACGCCCTCTCTCTCCCGCCCTGCAAGTCTGCCGCCGTTGATTCCTTGATATCGGCGAGGCCACCGTCTATCAATGGCCCTCGGTTGGTCCATGTCTCGTGCAGCAATTGTTGCCTCCTTCCCCATCTTCCCTTCCCTTCTCTGCCTCATCGCCATCCCTGCGTGATACGAGCTCTCATATGAGCAGCCGCCCACCCCAAAGAGCGTCCCGTCTCCCTTGGCTCATCTGGCCGCGTCTCCCAACACCGACCCAGCCAACAGACGCTGCCCCATGACCATTGCACATACACCAACTTCAGACACGTCGAAAAGCCTTCGTGCCACAACGCTTGCCAACAGGCCGCCGGCCCTTTATTGGTTTCAATACCGCTGGCCCACCGTCTTCTGCGCATCCAACTGCCAGTCTCGGCGACGCCTCAATGGCAAGGGCGGCTTCCCCAGACAAGAGTGTGAAGCAGGCCTTGATATTAAAGAATTACATACAGATACGAATCAGCTCCCAACCTCCATCTCACCAAGACCCTGCTCCTTGTCCATTCTCCCCTCTTTTGATACAGCGAATGAGCCGGCCGCGTGGCAGCCCTGCCATCTCCCACTCGTCGACATGTATGGCGCGCACTCGTTCAAGTCTTATCTCCTTGTGCCGCCGGGTAAGCAGTCGTCTCCTGCTGCGGCTTCGTCCTCGCAATATTCCATCGAGTGCCGTGTTTGCCCCGGACCCCCGCCGGCATGTCTGCTATTGCACCAGCAGTGCAGCCAGGGCCCAGCCAACGAGTATGCTCATGGCTGACAGCTGCTTCTTCGTCGCGGGCGACGTGCTAGTAGCCAAGTCAAAGGGACTCCCGCCCCCGCTTTGCGGCGAAAACGTCGGTCCCTGGGCCACTGACGACGTCGACGTTTCCCGGTCTGCCGGCGGTTGTGGCCGGCTCGGGGTGCTCGTGGGTTCCAGCGAGCCGGGGTTGTTACTGGGCTGGGCCACGATGCTGGTCGAAGACGTGGTGCTCGAGGGCGACAAGGTAGGAGTACTGGCTCTCGACACTCTGGGTGAACTGCTGGATGTCGACGTGGTAGAAGTGGGAGTGACAGATATTGACCGCGACGGCGTGACAATTACCGTTGTGTCTGCACCCGATCCCGTCCCGCACAGGGCATCAACAAGGCCGCCCTTTTGCGCTCGAGACAGCAACGAGTTTTGACTGGCCTTGGTGCTGCCGCATATTGTTTGGATGGTGGCCTGAATGCCATCGATGCTCTGCAGACACGACCGGGAGCACGTCTTTTTGGAGAAGTCACCAAGGCTGCATCCTTGGATCGGCGCGTTGTAGGCCAAGGTGCAGGTGAGTGGTGCCGACGATATCGTCTCCAGGCTGGAGAGGGTCAACATCTGGCCCGATGCCGCCCCGGAGAGCAGCAGTACACCGGCCGACCGAGACCTCCTCCCCCGCCTCGCCATCGTTGGTTTGCCGACAATGGTCCAGCCTGAACGCTGAAGGTACCGTGAAAGATTCGTTACCGCTCTCGCTCTCTCTGTCGCCGTGCCAATAGCCGTTGGAAGCGTGCTTGATCTTGTCGACTGACCATGTACGTTGACGGTCGCCGTCGAATTTGGACCGGGGAATGTCGACGATGACAGGACAGAGAGGCAGCCCTAGCAGAGCGTCCAGGGTATGGGTCTGACTTGTTCGTCGGGGTGCAGACTTCCAATGCGAAACGCAATCTGTCGCAGCCGGCCCAGGATGACGGCACGATCGACCCGGCTCACCAATTCCGTACGCCACGGATCCCTCGTCATCCAGCCAATCAGTTTCGAGAAGTTCCAGTCCTACTCTGATTTTGCCAGGGCGATTACGCACTTTATTCTGTGGTGCCCGAGGCTGCGGCTTCCTGCCTGCGCTGTCGGGGCTGTACTCGGGTGGCTGGCCCCGTTGCACGACAGCGTGTTTCGTTTCAAAGCGGAGTGGAGTGGCTCAAGGTCGAATGAAGAGTCAAAGAGGGAAGATATCATGACCGTCTGCGTTTGGTGGAGCAGGCAGCGGCATGTTGATGCCCAACACGTAGATTAAACGGCGGCCACTGTGAGGTGAAGTGGCCGGTAGCCGCTGCCGGCGAGAAAGCGCAGTACTCAAGGAGTGGCCCGAGGCTTATTGGCTGGTAGCAGGAGGGAGACGGCAGGCCAGAGGAGGGCAGTCCCGAGGGGGTCGGGGTACGAGACCGAGGCGGCGGGCCATGATGAAGTTGGACACGCATTTAGTTGGTGTTAATCGCGATGATAGAATCGCCTGTTAGACAGGATTTAGACAGGACTGAATAGGACTGAATAGGACGGATGATGGTCATTGTCCTTGCCCACATGGCCGTCACGGCAAGAGACTGCTCGCGTGTGCCATCGAGAGTCCAAAGACAGTTGTCATGACGGGGTGAAAGTTGCCCTGCCGACGCGCGAGGTCCACTCCAGTCTGCGAGATAGGAAAGCACCGGCTTGCACGGTGCCACGACGCGACGGACACACCACGGACGGGTAAGCAGCGTTTCGAAAGCGAAACAATGTAGAGGCGTGAATGCTCACTCACCTGAACATGATACGAGCCGTGCCGTCAGCCGTCGAGGTTCGGCTGAGGTAAGCCCGTTGATGTCGAGCTAAAGATGTACTCGACGGCGAGTACTCTGTCTCCAATCTAGCGGTCGAACTGGCCCGACACTTTACTGAAGATACTCGACAGGTAAGTATACTGCTAGTCGATCAATCCCCGAAGCCATCACCCTTCCCCCCTGCCATCCATTGTCGGCGAGCATTTACCTACCTCACTCATCCTGCCGACCTCGCGAATCTGATGACTTTCTCCTCGCAAGCAATACTCCATGCCAGGCAACGATGGCGATCCCGTCCGCCCATGCCAAGCGGATATATATATATATATATATATATATATATACCAGGCGCAAGTCAGGGAAGAAGGAGCACGAGGTTTTTGCCGTCTCGGCCGACTCGCGCGATCGACAAACTCTCCACGTCTGACTCGCGAAGGGGGACCCCGGCCATCCGCCCCCTGCGCGTTCAAGGTTTCCCCTCGTCTTACCGCTTTGGGCAGTTGAGATCGGTTTGATTGGCCCTGCCTCTTTTCCGCCATGCGAGCCATCCCGCCCCCTTCCACTCGGACGGACCGCTGGGCCTCCATGAAATGGCGGCCAGGGGCGAGTTTTCCACGGAGGAGAGTGAGGCATGGATTCCTCCTTGGCATGTCTCTGTGCCATTGCTTTGACGCCCGAGAAAGACGTGATTCTTAATTGGGAAGATGTCAGATCTACCGGGCTCGGATCCACTGGGTCGGCGCACCTCATTGGCCCAGGCGGTACGGGGTGGTGGTGTCGCTAAGGGTCCCTCCCCACCGCCGTGCCATCAACAATGGAGTAGACGGCTCAGTGCAGACACATTCGCGACTCAATAATGTTACGCGCAGCGAGTCCAGCATTGTATGAGTCGGCTTGGCAGCTGCAGGAAGACACGCGGCATGGCGGTGCCCAACAGACGACATGGAGACTTCATGTGTCATCAACAGGACCACTTGACAGAAGTGTGGATGGATTTGTACCTTGTTCTTCACCCTTTCCCCAGACTTCGCGGCACAGGATTCAAAGCTGGAGAGGGCACATGGGCGATTCTTGTCACACCAGGTTGGCCCCGTGGAGGACACCACCAGTCTGTCCCATACATCGAAGCCTTCTACCACTACCATATCCGATAATGACTCGTCCTAGTCTTCGAAGCTGGATGCCCCAGCTCAGCTCTCGAATATATACAGACGACAAACGAAACAAGTAAATGTGCGCCTCCAGGATCCCACACCAGGCGTAATTGTCATCATCTGGTCCCAGGCATCAGCTGCGCAAATCTCTCAATATTCCCCCCTGGCAGTGGACAAGAAAGAGCGAGAAGGGCCGCACCGACTGATCAAAATGCTCATCGCACTCGCCTGCCCACATTCTGTTCAAAGCTGCCCAGCACGTTCCCCCGCGGCCAATACTCGCAGGCGAGGAGCCAGTTCATGGCGCCGCCGCACCACCTGCGAGCGCACCCGACGTCGGTGGTGCCCTTCCAGACGAGCTGCGTAAAGTGGCCCGTGGCAGACGAGTAGCCCGGGTGGCCGTAGTCGTACTGCAGGCGCTCGTTCCCCCACTCGGCGACGCTGGCGGCGGGCGTCGCGTAGCCGTGGGCCATGTTCTCGCCGTAGGGGCCGCCCGAGTGCCGGAAGGCGCAGTTGTAGTTGCCAACGTACCACGCGGCGAAGGCGGCCAGCGTCGCGTTCCAGCGCACGAGGCCGGCGCCGTGCTCGCGCCGGTAGAGGTCCGTCGTGGCCACAACGGCGGCCTCGAAGGCCTGCTCGTCGATCCACCAGGCGTCGGCCGGCGAGTCTGCGGGCTGGGCGGCGGCCGCCAGAGATTGCGGGCACAAGAGGGCGGCGGCGGCGAGGAGCACGACGGACGGCTTCATGTCGCCTCGCTTTCCACAGCTTGGTGGTGTTGCCGAAGAGAGAGAGGGCGTCGCGGATCGAAAGAGTAGACGCCGGTTCTGCGACGAGCCCGACAACTTGGCGGTCGGATCACGATGTCTGACGGTTTGCTCGTCTGCATCTTGTCGGCTGGCACTCGATGGATGTGGTTTTCCGGCAAAACAAAAGCGCGGGAAGGTCGCCATACTTCCTTCCGTAAGTCCTCAGCGGCACTTGCCTCTCTGTCTGGAGCAAGCTTCCCACGGCAGGCGGACCGGGGATGTCGGACACGCTTGTTTCCCAGGATTTCCGGCCTCGACTTTGCAGCCGCCTCGACGGGCGGGCATGCTTCAACAGCAAGCAGCCATGGACCGGCCACTCATCTGGGCGCGACGCGTGAAGCCGGGGAAGAGAGAGGGCAGTAGAGGCCCATGAGATCTGGAGAGTGGCCGCAAGCCACGATGGCCTTGTCTGATCGGGTTGCCGACAGCATGGCGATGAGGCGTGCAGACAGAGAGAGGACTCCCAACAAACGGCAGCAGGGGGGCAACCCAAGTATATCCTCCGAGGGTATAATTCCGAGTTTGAGTTGACATTAAGTTTGTCATGCAAGCTTGCGTGTCGCATCACACGTACTGTCTGCACACACGTCCTCCCTCCCCCTGGCAGGGATGCTTCAGTCGCCAAGACGATCAAGGCCTTGGAGGCCACGACAGTGCGTAATGGCCACCCGATCCTCCACCGGCACATAACTCGGTGCCCCTGCTCATCTCCTCCATTGATTACCTTAGTAATTGGCACCCGACATCCTTTGCGGGGGAGGGTGCCGATTACTAAAATCAAAGGACGGGCTTTGCTGCTGCGACCCGCGCCCTCCGGCCGGTGGGCTGACCTCGGCGCTCCCTCTCGAGGCTCGTGGTCGAGGTGGCATTGCGGATCCGCCATCATGCAGCCCGCGCCGACTTCATCAAGGCAGGAGATCGTTGGACCATGTACAGTACCGAGTATTCGTAGCTGAGCGTGATATCGCGTCATGGCGTCCCATGTAATTACGTGCGTCGCTTCCGGTGGATTTGGTTGTCGGGACTCTCGGGAGTCCGCGACGCCCTGTATCGATAGATATTAGATACTTCTACCTCTTCGCCGGCCGCCCCTTTAGCTGAATTGTCCCAACCGCTTCTTCAACTCATTCATTTTCTCCGGTCCATCTCCTTTCTTTCCTGCACCATGAAGTGGTCACGTTCTTTCCTGGGCTGGGCGCTCCTCAGCCCAACGGCGAGCGCCCACGCGCGCCGCTGCGAGAGCAACAACAACAGTCTTGTCGTCGACGAGGCGCCCGACTCTGTGCGTCCCTATGTCCTGCCCAAGTACAAGGGCCGCGCCATCTTCATCACCGCCTCGCAAGTCCTGCGCTTCTCCATCACCGCAAACTCGTCCGACGGTGCCTTCGCCCTCGTCCAGCACAGCGGCAAGGTCTCGGGCTGGACGCCCGCACGCCCGCACACCCATCGCCGCACTCACGAGCACTTTTACTGCGCAAAGGGCCGCTCGGAGCTCTGGGGCCAGAGGAATGCCACGGGCGCCAGCCACGAGGCCCGTGTCGGCACCCTGGGCGACTACGGCAGCATGCCTCCGGGCGCCATCCACACGTTCCAGCTCGTCGACCCGGACGCCCAGCTCACCCACGTCTTCCACCCCGGCGGCTTCGAGCATCTCTTCGACGAGTTCAGCTCCGGCGGCTACGACTCCAAGGCCGTCATGTCGCCCTACCCCCCCGACCCGGAGGACAAGGAGCCCTTCGGAGCCATGACGCCCGAGCTGGATGAGAAACTGCAGCGGCTTGATCTCTACCAGGCCCCCGCCGAGCTCTTCATCCCTCGCCGTGACTTCGTCAATGGCACGGCCGGCGCTGGCCTCAGCTGGCACAATGGATCCAACGCTCTGCCCGACGATCCGACCGAGCCCTACTTTGTTGCCAAGGACTACGGCCCCAAGTTCCTCAACACAAACAGTGGATACAAGATCCTTCAGCCGCTGGCCACCGCCACTCAGACCTCGGAGACGGGCAACTTCACCATGGGCACCCTCATCATGTCGCCCAAGCTGGACAACGAGACCGTCGAGACGACGCAGCTCCCTCATCACTTCGCCATCCAGATGGAAGAGGGCCAGCTCGCTCTGTCTATTCCCGGTTATCCAGAGACGTATCTGATCCAGGGAGACGTCGCATTTATCCCGGCCGACACCAGCTTTACCTACTACGCCACGGTGCCCTTTACCAAGTTCCTCTACATGAATGCCGGAGCGTCTGGCCTCGATCACCAGCTCTTGCAGGATAGCATCTCCTGGGACTTTCCCGTGTACCCTGCCTACGCAGGGTTCCAGTCTCGGAGTTCCTCTACCCCATCCAGGTAGATCATCTGGGTGCAATGTGTCATGTCAAGCAAAGAGAGCACCGATATACCACCCTGTTATGGAACGCGACTTTAAATTCATGTACAGATTCGATACATGTCAAATGAGACACTGTTTTTCCATCCTAGCCATGCAGTACCTCTATGATTCAAAGCAAATGACACAACACACCTCTCTGGCCTAGATGCCACACGTACCCTTGGGAATATCACACGAGACGCTGCTTCTCTGTCCTGGCCCTGTAGCTTCTCTATAATGGAATGTAAAGAACAGCTCACGCCCCATTATATGGAGATGTGGATGTCACATGATGTTGAATGAACCTATCGTACACTGTTCCTTTCTTCATCTGCGTCTTCCCTGTACGGAACGGGGCATGAGAAACTCCATGATTCGAGAGATATGAGAACAACGGAGGACCAGGGAAACCGCCTAAACCCTCTCCAGTTTCCAGCGGTGAATGCCTCCCCCCTTCCACCACGGCGTCTTTTGCCTCTTGCTCTCCACGTCAAGCCAATCCTTTGCGGCGTCGGGCTCATCCGGGAACCCCTTTGCCTCCAGAGTTGCCAGCCTCTGCCGACGCGCCGAACGAATCTTGCGTGCGCGGACAATGCCCAAGCAGACAGCCGCAGTGACGTACATGAAGCCGGCAAAGAGCTGCGCGCCGAGATACGACCCGGTGCCGTTGACGATTTCGAGGGCGATGGGCACGCTGAAGGTGCAGGGCGTGAAGACGGTTATCCAGAGGATGCTGAGCGCCGAGGCGACGCTGCCGAGACCCACGACTTCGACCGTCAGGGGCGCAATCGTCGCCCAGATGGTGCCGCCCACGGCGCCGCCCAAGATGGCGAAGACGAGCAGGCCCGCGAAGCTCTTGACGCTGGTCCAGATGGCCAGCGAGAAGACGCCGGTTAGAAAGGTCATCAAGACGGCCATGTTGAAGCGTCCCGTCCGATCGCTAAAGTATCCAATCATGGGGCGGCCGAATGCTTGGCCCAGGTTGAAGGCTGCGCTGATGGACGCCGCCTCGGACGCCCCCAGTCCGATGCGGTTGGCATAGTTGGCCAGGCTGAAGAGCAAGACAATATACCCCAACACACTAAAGGAGCCAAAGGCAAGGAGCAGCTGGTAGTCCGGCAACTTCAGCACGTTCGTGTCAAAGGCCTTGTGGGTCGAGCCGACTTCCTTGTTGCGGTCCTTGATGAGAGTCGTGCTCGCGGCGTTGACCACGAAAGCAATGATGCCCAGGATCCGAAAAGCCCATTGCAGGCCGAGGCTTCGAATCATGGCTCCCGCCGCAAACGAATACAGCACGCCTCCGATGCCAGAGCCGGCCGTGGCAAGGCCGTTGGCCAGCGAGCGACGCGTGGAGAACCACTGAGGCACGATGCCCACCGACGGGATAAATAAGAAGCCCAGCCCGACGCCGAACAGGATCGACTGGGTCAGAAACAGCTGCCATACCTCTTGCGCAAAGCTGGCACAGACCAGTCCTGCGCTCTGGAGCATCACGCCCATGTACATGGTCGGCTTGGTGCCCAGCCGTCTGACGCAGATGGTTGCAATCGGCGACATGAGCAGGCCGGAGCTGATGCTGAGCGAGCCGACAAAGGCATACTGCAGATTCGTCGCTCCTGCAAACGACCGGTTCGCCAGGTAGTGAGCGAGGAAGACGCCAAAGCTCGAGTTCATGCCCCAGGAATGCGCGTTGATCATGCCGACGCAAAACGTACACACCCACCCATATCCTCCGTTTGGCGGCGCCGCCGACGGCCGGGTGGCTGATTCGGCCTTGGGGTCGATCCAGCCCGGCGACTCTGCGTTTCTGGCAACGTCTTTGGCGAACTCAAATCTGGTTTCTATCACTGACGACTTGGATAGAGTCTTGAGCGGCGCCTGTATCGGTGTGTCTGGGAGCGGTGGTAGTCGCTTTTCTTCTCGAACGAAATGAGACATATTGAGGTCTTTAACGAGAGACGGCGGCAAGGAAAATAGCGAGAGAAGCGCTCGAGAGCCATAATGATATTGCTTAGGCACTCAGAGAAAGTGCTCCATCACATACCAACCTCGACCTACGTAAGCTACCCTGGCTTTGCAGTGAATTACATGGCTTGGCTCGGACTGGATTGTCGCGAAGAAAGGGGCAGCGCATAATCAACCATTCCCGCCACGGCTCCAAGGTGGGATGGAGCCAACTTGAGACGACATCTGGGGAGGGTGGGGACAAGTGAAACGTTCCTAGAGGGAGCAAGCCATGACATCTCTCTTAAAGAGCACCACGTTATAGGTCCTCTGTGGTCGCCTGAAATCTCAGCCTCCAGGGTTTATGCCACTCGTGGTATTGATAAGCGCCTGCAATTTCTGTCTGGAAAGGGGACCGCCAAGACTTGTCGAAACGACATGTTGTCGTCCCACCCGGCTCCAACTCAAGGGCTTGCGTGCTCCTCTCTGGCGTTGGGTCACCCAAGGCATTGCTTGCCCTCAGCTGTGTTCCCAGGCTTGAACTCGTCCCAAAGACCATGGATGGGCGAGGCCGCGGGTCAGGTCGTTGGCTTCGAGACTGCCGACAACCCTGGTTCAGAGGCAAATAGCTGGCGAGAGTCGCTCGGGATGACCGCGCATATAACGCCCCCATGCTTGAAGCGCGACGCTGACGTCTCGACCAGTCCCCTCTCGCACAGCAATTTGCAGGTTCCCTGAATCTTCAGATCAACTCTGCTGGAATCCTCAACCGAGATCCCCGACCATTTTGATTCCGAGCGACAGCCATCGATTCTGCCGTCGCACCCCGGCAAAATCCAGTTGTGAAGGCCGAGGTGCAAACAGGAGCGCGTCCAGCGCACACGGCGGCCTGGCGTTGGGTGAAGTCGAAGGCTCCGACCAAAGTCATAATGCGTCCCGTCTCACGGACCAGACAAGACAAGACGGTGGATACCGCCGAACCTCTTTCTTTCAATCCTGAGCCTCGGACAACGGACCTCTTTCCTGGGCTGCGGCTCGCCTACCATGGTGGGATTCGCACGAGATCAAATGGCTGTCCGTACAGTGCGACCCCTCGGGCACGTGCCGCGTCTCCCAGCCCAGCGGCTGCCTTGTGGATCAAGACGCCACAGATCGGCGTGTATTGATTGATCTGCCTCCCCTGAAATTCGGCCAGTCCTAGAGCCTCAATGGGCAGCCAGTCAAAATGGAGCCGACTGAGAGTGAGGGCGTTGAAAAGCTCACGGGCCCCGATTGTCCGGTGGCTGTGTGGGTCTTGAGCAGCCGGGCCGGATGCTTTCGTCTTCAGCTTTCGTCATTCTGTGTCCGTGTGTCCGCTGGAAGTCCTGCCAGGTCCTGCACCGGAGCCTCAAAAACGTTGAACTGTTGTCAGCATCCATCATCGAGCCTGGTCTCCTCCTTCTCGGACCCTTCGACTCCAATCAGATGCCACTGCACGGCTCAAGCAGTCTCTTGGACATGTTCCTTTCCCCTCCAAAGCTAGCGGTGAGTCGCGCCGGGGCCGAGGCATCCAACTCCGGAATGATCAGCCGTGGCGTCAAGCTTGCCCGTCCCTTGCCTCGAGCCGGGTGAGGCGACAGGCTCCAGCTCAATTTCAACGGCGCGTATCAGCACTGCCCGGCAGCTCGAGCGCGCTGTCCCGAGCTCTTTGCTCGTTGTACACGGAAGCCCTAGTTCCACTATCAGTAGCCCGTTTGAACTTGGGTCAGCCGGAGCGACACTCCGGCTCTTGGCCATTCAGCGGCGTCTGCAGGGAACGGCCTTTCCGGGAGCCAAGTCCGGAAAAATACGGCGTCGGTGAATGCGTTGTAAGGGTACGCCATGCTTATGAATGAACCACATGAGCAGAGCAGGTCGTCGTGTTGAGAGGCCTGGCGTTTGAAGGCGAGGATCCTTTCTGTGTCTCGGTACATGTGTAAGATCGGTCTGATTCCATACTACTTCGGAATTTCCTTGGCCTATACTTCTTCTGCGCCCTGGCCAATAATTAGCTTTTGCGTTTTGTCAAACTCATGCTTCTCGGCCCAATATTGTCTAGCCATGACAGCGATGTCGTCTCCTCGAATCGGGATATGGGCTCTGGGGCGTGCTCGAGGTGATATAGGTCCGACTTGTCGACGACAGCTTTGACCATGTTATATCCTGAGACAACCGGGTTGAACTCCCATTTTATACCCAAGTTGTGCTGGAGTTCGAGTTTGGTCAATCAGATGCCATCGTATTGTTTCAGCTTATGTATGTGAGACAGCGCGAGCGGCGTCTGGGCTACGGAATAGAGCAAAGATTAGTATCAATTGGTTCTCTCCCCTGCCCAAGCTCAAACCTCGCTCTGACTAGCTTCTCAAAGTCTCGTCTCCCGACGAACTGGGAGAGCAGCTTGTCTATTTGAAGGCGCTTGTTTGTTTCCCTTCGCCGGCTTGTCAAGAAAAAGGGCACAAAATGCCTACGAGGCCGAGCGATTATGCGACTCGCGACGTACTGTACAGTATGTACAACGTCTCGAAATCGCAGTCCTTTCATTTGGCGTGTCCTAGGGGCGGGAAACCCCAAAATCCGGGGAAGCCAGGGGTACCGCTAGCGTGGTGTGTGTGCCATCAACCCTTGGGTCAGCCGAGGAGGATCCAAGTTTGGTATCCCCCGGACCGTCGTGAGAGGCCCCGCCAGGCGATCTCGTACATGAGAGCCATTGGTGACGGTGAGGTAAACGGGGCTATTCTAGCGAGACTGGGAAATCCCGATCTGGATGTCGTGAAAGCAGTGCCCAACAAATGCTTGTTGCACCAGCTGTCTCTGACCCGTGAACGCCTGGAACCAGTGCTGTCCAACTAGGTGGGAGAGTACGACTCTGTTTGAAAGTTGAAGAGGTTGTTTGTTGTCGCGAGCTGGTCATCTCTCTCGTGCAGCAGGGTCCTGTATGCATGCGTTTCTGCAGATTGCTACTCGTGAGCAGGCAACCATTAGGGCGGCCAGGGCTCAGAGAGATATCCTTGGTCTGTCGGCTACGGAGTTTGCGTGGGAGTGACTCAAATGCTTCCAGAGCGACGACTGGGCCGCCCTGCAGGAGAGCCGATCGTTTTGCTTTGCAGGAGGGCCGACGAATGGCAGGCGCTGAAATTGACGAGCGTTCCCCCGGGATTGCAGAAATGGCCTGCTCACCTGATCGTTTCTCTGCCCAGGGGTTGGCGTTTCGATGCCGCATAATTAGCCGTCAGAGTGAGAGGCCCAGCCTCCCAGCAACAAGCTTTACCCTTGCGACCATCTTGTGCAGGCTGGACATGTGGGCGACACTCGAGAACTTCCCAAGTCGGAGCCAGAGGCAGCATTCGCTTTGGGCTCAAGGCGAGAGACGGCTTGTGAAGCGAGGTCGAGTAGATGCGCAAGGGACGTCGACTGTCGGCTGTTGGCAACGCCATCGTTTTGGACGCAAATAGCCTTGCCCAGAAGGGCCACCGCCAGCAGGACGCCAGTCGACCATGAATGCCATGCTCGTCGGCCGCGAGCTAGACAACTAGGGCCGCATCGTCTTTGGGTCGTGTGGCGCCAATTTCGGCTGCCTGTGTCGGCTTGGAGCCTCTAACATTCCCCAGATGTGGGCCTCGAGGTCTCAACGTGGGCCATTTCGCAGCTGACTGGTGCGTTGAAACATGGTCGACGGCGCCAACGCGGGCTGGATGCTATCCTGGACGGGGGGTGGAGGGGCTGTGCAGCGGGTGGGAAAGGTCGAGTGGCAGCGCGCACTGTGCCCGGGATGGAATTGGAAGTGATTGATATTCCGAGCAAAGAGCTTTGCCTAGCAGGGCTTCAAGGTCGACGGCGGGAAAGCTGCCTGCCAGGAGAGGTCAATTTGCGAGCGGTGGTTGAGTAGTGTAGCATTGCGGCGATATGCAGCGCTGCTCGTCCGGGCCATCTGTATTCGCATCGTCACACGCAATGGTCGACGACGAGATCCGGCGGGGTGTCGAACCAGGGAAACGTCATGGCGGACGTGGCAGACGGCGCAGGCAAAAGGTGGCCGGCCATGCAGGTTTGGCCGCAGGCGTGGCGAGAATCCTCGGGCCAGCAAAAGCATGCAGCTGCCTGCACGAGCTCCTGTTAATCTCGAAAATGGGGTGCCGACCGGGGGCTGGGCGACCCCAGCCGAGCCGTCCATTTCTTGGGCTCTTTCGAGATGACTCTTTCGGTTGCCCACGTTTAGATCTGGCGGTGACGCGAATCACGCGAGTCCGAAACGGGGTCTCCCAATTGTCTCGAGCAGGAAGCGTCGAGGCGCTATTTTAGCATGGAACTTATCCACAAGAAAGAGCGAGAGATGTGTGGAGAGGGCCGATGCAATTGGTCTGCCTGCCATTGTGTGTCGATATTGCGCTCTGTGTGTCTGTGTCTTGGCTCCCACGGCGCACAGTGTGAGCCCGAACACGGTGCGCATCTGCAATGCCAGTGTCAGTGACCTGCCTATTGCATTCGCATGTGCCTGTGGTGCCTTGCTTGCTTGGGTCCGGCCACGGAGCCCAACATGGCAGACTGGAGACCTTGGGCTAATGTCTGCCTGTTGATCACTTCTGCATCCTGCCTCGGGGGATGGATGAAGCCCGCGGCGCTCGCAGGACAAGGCTGCATCTTGATCCCACGCACTTTGGCCATTGACATGTACGGAGGCATGCATGTCCTCGACCTATCCACGGGTAGCTTCAACACCTGTGTATGTACTGTATATAATATTTCCAGGCCCTGCAGTTGCAAAATACGGAGCAAGCAAGCCCGTCGACGATTGAGCGCTCGTCTGCATGCCAGAGTTGCCCTGTCCAGTGGGCCAGGGCAAAGGCAGCAGCGTATCCAGGTCGGGTCTTGTAGCATCGGGAACTTATTTTTATCTCTTGCCCGAGCTTAGGCGCCTGCAATGGTTAATTAAGGCGCCTACCTCAGTACTGTACAGAAGAGAGGGGCGGCAGAGCTCCACAGGCACCTCGTGTTGTCAATAAGTACAGTAGGTAGGTAGGTATAGGTAGGTAGGTAGGTTATGGGAGGTAGGTAGGTAGGTAGGTAAAGTAGGTAGGTAGGACGACAAATAAGGGGACACCTCAAAGTGCCTTTATCTTCTCGCCCGTCTCCAGGATACTCTCTTCTCTGTCGACAAGCACGACAAGAAGCCGCAACAAGCTATATAGGCTAGGTCCGTTGATAGCTCGCATTCTAAACCCTCTCAACCATGCACCGCGGTATAATGCAAGGCCTGTCAGCAGAGGCACAGTCATGTCTTGATAATTGCATCGACCGTGCACGACCTCGTCATAATGGTGAGCGCAAACAAGGTACTAAGCCTCTTGACTGAGCGGCTCGCAAGGTCGGCCGTGGCCTCGCTGCATCATGCACGAGGCAGGCAGTCGTGGAGGTGTGTGGCCGGGACGTTGTTGTGCAACCCTCCGAGGATAACTTTCACTTGTGGCCTAAATGACCTGGACTTTTACAAATACAGTATATACTGCTGCCTCCCTCGGAGAGAGGTCAGGATGGCAAAGCCTCTCGTCTTCTTGCTCATCCTGCGTCGTGCCATGCTTCGTGCCTACAGATGAGCTCATTGTGCTCAGTGACAGGCGCCGGGGCAACCTCCGCGAGCGCCTCACATTGTAGCCATGCCAGTCTGCGTCGCTATGCCTCAGACGCATCATGAGCTTGATAGCCGAGAAGCCTGCACCGTGGCCTACATGACCAGATTGGGTCCACGGCTCCGAATGGATTTGCTGCCCACACATAGCTACGACATGCTCTTGCTTTGCATCCGCATGCAGGCATTGGACTGTATTGTCCATGTATCCATACCCCGTGTTGTACTGTACGTTTGAGCTTCTTATCGGACGTGCAAAGAATACTGGGCATTTATGCACAGGTATATTTGCCGAGTTTGTGCGTGTGGGAGGCTCAGGAACTCGACGTCGGTCACAACTTTTTCGCACTGCGTCGGCACTTGGACGAGTCGCTAAGAGGACCAGTGTTTTCTGTCGACGTGAAATGTCGCTGCGAGACTTGTCAGCCTATTCCCGCCTCACAAAGGCAGACTGTTTCTCGCTCCTTACCTCCTCTCTCTCTTCTGCGAGCTTGGAAATGCCCGGACCATCTCGACCCGCGCGGCAGCTGCACCGGCGACCAAGGAGCTCCACGGGGGTGCTGCGGGCGGGCCCTGCTTCAAATCAGCTGTGCGAGTCTCTCTACCTGGGCAGTCCGTACTACCCGAGGCCAGCGTGAGACGACGGTCCGCGCAAGCATGAGGTATTGCTTGTCTCATCTGACCCTGGATCGAGGTTTCAATCCCCCGGCGATGCTCCTTTGGGCAAGCTGTGCAAAGGAAGCGTTGGCGGGCAATCGATAAGCTCCAAAGTACTGTCAGCGAAAAGTGGTCCGTCCCTGATACACAAAGGGACCTTGGCTATTAAAAGTAGCTCGGGTTCCTGCTACCCAAGCGAGCTTCCGCTTTGCAGGGGACCGAGCGCTTCGAGGCCGTAGCTCAGTACCGTGCTGTACCTCTCCACGATAACCACCAAGATAACTCGCTTCAGGTACTCTTGCGACCTCTCAACGTCGCAGAAAACACTCGGCCATGGGCGCAGCGACGAGTCCTTGCAGCAGTGTCCTTCCTATTCCTCACCCATGCATGCAGACACAATCAATTCTCCGTACGGCAGCAGAGAGTCGAGAGAGTTGCACCGCTGCACGGTACGCTGTGCACCGTGCAGCACTCGAGGTAGCTGGTACCTGGGCCTTGTACCTGGCTTCCATCCAGACCCTGCACCACCCGTCCAGGTGGCTGTTGGCTGCTAGCTTCTGGCGACAGACCGAGGTACCTACAGTACAGCTACTGTGCTAATGCGCCTCGTATGCGCAGTACATGCATCCATGCATGGCCTCGGTGCCGCCACGAGAAGGAGCCTGCGGCGCGCGCCATTTTCTGGCCGTCCAAACTTGACCGACAATGGGCCAGCTTCGTGGATGAATGGCGCGCACGTCAGGCCATCCAGCCCCCTCTGCCCTGCAAGTCGTCCAAGCTCCGTCGGTGACAAAGGTGAGATGAATCTGGACTGGGCCACAGCCACGGGCAGAAAGTTGCGAGCCACTCAAGTCTTATGCAAGTTGGACACGCCAAGTCAGGTAGGCATGTACCTGTATGTACTCGCCAGGGGCCTGCTGCCCGCACCGCTTGTAGCCCACCGCGCGCCACCGCGCGAGCACCAGCGTCAGCGTCCGGCGTCCCGCTACGCGCACTGTCTTCTCGCACGGTACGCCGCTGCTCTTTGTCGTTGCCGCCTTCGTCCCGCACTGCCAAACCTTCCTTCTCCTTCTCACTCCCCGAAGCTGGCTCCCCGGATCCTCCCCCCCCCTTTCCCATCCTCTGGCCCAAAGCAGCAATTGCTTCCTCTCGACGACGGATGGCCTGGTGATGCTCGACGCCGTCGCCTCGTACGCTTCACCTTGACATGTTTGTTTCGGCTGCTGAGCACGCCGTTTCCCTCGTCCCCTGCCGCCCCTCCTTCTGACTCAACAAGTGGCTGCCGCCGACTCCCCGCCATCCTCCCTCTGCAGCGCACTCAACCACTTGCCCAGCGCCTCACGGCCCCACGGATGCCCTTAACCTTGCACCACAACTCCAACGATTGCAATTCATCGCCGCGCACCACCCCGCATCGCAGAGCCGTGCAAGCGTCGCCGTTTGGTCATGGTCTTGAATGACGCTGGTGCCAGGCTGTCGCGCGCTTCCATAATGCCCAACCCTACGCCCTCTGGCGCAGCCGTCGCCGGTAACCAGCCCAACCCGGATGATTCTGGTGAGCCTGAAGCCTCCTCGATTAGCTTGCGTGGGCGCCGCCGCCCGCTCCATCCTGCCGGCCCTCGCCCTCCCTTCCCTCCCCTGTCTTGATCTCACTGTGCCTTTGTTTGATTTCACTCGGAACAAGTCTGTCCCTTCTCATTTGCTGACTCGCTTCACAGCCTCGACAATCACCGTAAATACCAAAGCGCCGTCCACTTTCCCTCCTCCCAAGACTGACAAGCCACGACCCCACGTCTGCGCGACTTGCCAACGCTCCTTTGCCCGCCTGGAGCATCTCAAGCGTCACGAGCGCTCCCATACCAAAGAGAAGCCGTTCGAGTGCCCCGAGTGCGCAAGATGCTTCGCTCGTCGCGACCTGCTTCTGCGGCACCAGCAGAAGCTACACCAGACGTCGACTCCATCGTCGCGTCCTCGAAACCGCCGTGAGTCGGCCAGCGGCATTGGTCCGGCCCAGAGCAGAGCCCGCAAGAACAGCGTGGCCGGCACTAACCCCACTGGAGCCAATACGGCGGCCACATCCATGAGGCCCAGAGCAAACACAATCAGCCATGTCGATGGTGCCGCTATGCAGATGATCGCCTCGGCCAACGTCTCTGTTGCGCGAGGCATGGCCGCCCACAGTCGTCACCCGAGCCTTGCCGGCTTGCCCGTTCACAACCTGGACCACGTCTTTGGTGGCATGTCGGCGGCCCTGGGCCAGAGAGGGATGCACCACGGCCTGCCGAAGCTGGAGACCGCCCAGATGAGCAGCAATGAATTCGAGAATGGCCTCAGAACGGCCCCCCCAATGGCCGTCTTCAACTCGGAATTTGACTTCGAGGGTCTCCTATTCGGACCAGGCTCGACGATCAACCCCAACGCCCTTCACTACAACGACTCCCCGCAGTCCATGGCAGTGGACCAGACTTCGCCTTTCGGACATGGCTTAAACGACGTGGCGTCGAGCCAGCCTTTCGACGACGGCCTCGACTGGCTCACCGGGTTCGAGCACCAGATGTCTTTCCAGACCAACGAGAACGTGGTGGACGGGTCGAGCCCGTCTGCCATCAGCACGACGAGCCAGAGTGGGATAAGCGATGTGATGCTGGACGGATCAAACCACCCAGCGCCGTCCGGGACAAGCACCATGTGGCAACCCTCCATCATGGGACCTCCGCAGATGCCGAACCCTTTTGCGATGGATCTGAATGGGTCGGTCTTTCCTGATCTCCTCAATGGAGCCCCTCTATCACCCCAGCCAGCTTCTCAAAAGATCAATGACCCGTACTTCTCTACGCCTCCGCCTTCGTTGAGCTCGTTGAGCCCATCCGTCGTGTCTGGACTGAACACTCAGAACCTGAATCAGACTCTGGGCTTCACCGCCGGCCCCGAAACTCCGTCATCCCTCGGCGGCGGCAACAACGGCGCCTCTCCCGTGACAACCATCTCAGATGCCACTCGGACTGCCATTGTGAACGCCCTCTCCCAATGTGTGCCCTTTGGCGGCCGTAAATATTCCATCACCTCTCAGAACTCGCCGCTATCGCCCCAGTTCCAGTCTGGCGCGAACGCAACCTCCTCCGCCCAGGCAGCAGCCAAGTTGCCAAGTACTCAGGACTTGCAACGTTACGTGGGAGCCTACCTGACCTATTTCCATCCTCACCTCCCGTTCTTGCACATTCCCACCCTGTCATTTGACCGGTCTTCCACTTCAAGCGGTCGTTCTGTCGGTGTAGGCGGTAGTGCTTGCCTCATCCTCCCAATGGCCGCAATTGGTGCTCTCTATGAGATGGAGCACGCGCAGTCTAAGGAGCTGTTTGACTTGGGCAAAAAGATGGTCTTTGACTACCTCGAAGAGCGAAGGAAAGCGGACGCTCGCAGGACAGAGGCTCGTCGCAGCCCTCCAGGCACCGACCAAACCTCCCACACGGATGACGGTTCGGCCCAGACCCCGGTTTGGCTCGTCCAAGCTATGCTTCTCAACGTCGTCTACGGCCACAACGGTGCCGACAAGACGGCGAGCGACATCGCCTCGACGCATTGTGCTGCCTTGGTAAGTCTCGCCCAGGCGGCAGATCTTTTGCGGCCCAGCCAGGCCAACCTCGTGGTGAAGCGGGATATTCGGATGGGCGATGATTCTACCTGGGGTCGCCAACACGACCAAGAGGAGCACCAGGAGTGGCTGCAATGGAAGAACAAGGAGGAGAGAAAACGCACGCTTTACGCCGTTTTCATCATGTCCAGCCTACTCGTGGCCGCCTACAACAACACTCCAGCACTGACAAACTCGGAAATCGTGCTCGACTTGCCCTGCGACGAGGAGTTTTATGCTGCGGAAAACAGCGCTGCGTTTTTTGCCAAGGGTGGTGTCGAAGCTGCTGACCACAACCGCATGACATTCTATGACGCTTTGGGGGAGCTCCTCCGGACAAATGAGAAGCGGCAGAAGGCCCTCGAGTCCCCCGCCGGTCACGATGCCGATCCGCCCTTGACTGAGTTGAAGCCAAGCACCTTTGGCTGCCTGGTCTTGATCAATGCTTTGCACAACTACATCTGGGAGACGCGCCAGCGACATCACGGCAAGGTATGGACAAACGAGGAAACGGAAATGATGCACAGGCACATCGAGCCTGCCTTGAAGGCTTGGCAGATGGCATGGGCAAGCAACCCGCACCACAGCGTCGAGCGGCCGAACCCCTTTGGCCACGGGCCCCTCTCTGCCGATGCCATCCCGCTACTCGACCTCGCTTATGTGCGACTCTTTGTCAATCTGTCACGGTCCAGGGAGAAGTTTTGGCAGCGAGACTGGGACGGGGTGGTTGAGGAGCTGGCCCGCGGGAATGGGGTTGCCCAGCAAGCCGAGCGCTCCCAAGTCAGCAACGTAGGGCCCGACGCCGCCGGTTCCTCAGACAGGTCGGCTCAGGATCCTCTCATCGAGCCGCCAGCGGCAGCGTCTGTCGATACGTCCGTATTTAGGCCTACCGCGCCCGGCGACGCGTCTGGAATGCCCAGCCAATCCACATCACGCCGGGAGCAGCATCTGCGTAAAGCTGCCTTTTACGCCGCCGACTCACTGGCCATGTCGGACAAGCTTGGCGTGACCTTTGCCGACTTCACGAGTCGGGAGCTCCCTCTGCAGTCGGCCCTTTGTGTTTTCGACTGTGTCCAGGTTCTCTCCGAGTGGATAGCGACCCTCCAGGACAGGGTTGGCCGTTACCTCGGCATACTTGGACAGGATTCGGTAGATGTCGGACAGATTCCCGCCATCATGCTACTCGAGGAAGAAGACGTGAAGCTGCTCGACAAGATACGCGAGATCTTGGCGTCGGCCGAGCTGAAACTCAACATAAACTTGGTGTCGGACGCCATGAAAGGAGTAGAGCCGGCATCACAACCAAACAGTCATGGCAGCTTTGCGACCAAGATTCTGCGACTTACCGCTTTCACAATGGAGAAGGCTACCGTCTGGCCAGTCACCCAGATCATGGCCCATTGTCTCGAGACGCACGCCAATCACGCGCAAACAAGAGCCGAAAGGTCGATTGCGTTTTCAGACTGAAGGCTTGGTTTGGCTGCTGGCCCAACACTCTTCCCCGACAATGTGCTGATTTGTGATGTTCGACCTGTCCTCGATGAATCTCGCAACGACAAGACCGCGTCTATGGCGGGGACGACTCCACAAGGCCTGAGCGATGAATGATCTCGCTATGTGCTCTATGGTAAGCGCTATTGGTAGTCCGCGGTCCTTCTGCCATGGGTGAAGGCGAAGAGAACCGTCGTCTACTCAACGCGTCTTGGACGTTGCAATACCCAACACCACTGGGCATCGGTTGCCTGTTCGACTGTGGCTATCAGCAGCACGAGGATATACCCTGCGGATTGCGACTGGACTTTGGTGGTTTTATTTCACAGTTGGTGCAGGACAATGTCTGGAGCTGAAGTGGTTATTTCACTTTGTAGCATGGACGTTTTGGTTTCCAAGTTTCTACCATTCGATCTCACGACCTGATGACCATGTTTCTGGCAACACTGTATAGCTCAATGGCGGAAAAGTTGATGAGACCCGAGATGTTCCCCTTGCCCTTCCCGCGACATGCCACGTCTGGTAGGCGAGGTGGACATATGAGCCCTGGGATGGTAACGCTTACGTCCCGTTCGGAGCACACGCCTCGGCAAGCATCAACTCGTTTGTTGGCTTACACGACATGCCATGACCAAACTAGGCCAGGGCGGGGATATTGCAACAGAGATGGCCTTGACGCTGGAGAAGGCAGCAGCTGGTACGATTTGGTGCTCAACAATGCTGCGGTGGAAAAGTGAAGTATCCCTTGGTTTCCCATCGAATGAATCGCATACAAGTGACAGGGCGAGCCAGGGTGATGCATGATGACGATGCGACGATGGAGTGTGCTTCTTACTCTTTAGATTTATCTACCTGGCTGAGCCACACAATCGATCTTGAGCATCTCCGACTGAAAGCATGCGTCGGAATGCACCGCATGGAAAGGGGACAGTCAAGGACAGCGAGCGAGGCGTCACTGCCCAGGAGGCAGGCCGAGAGCAAGCAATCTCTGGAAAAGAGAGAGCCTGGATAAGATGGTTCGAGGCATTATATTTTATGCGAATCATTTTGCTCCTGCAAGCTCCGTCACTCGGGGATCTTACTCCTCAATTCCGCAATCCTCTGCGTTGCCGCCTTGAACTCTTCGCCATCCAGCTCGCCGCACCGCAGCCCCTGCACCAAGGCCTCGCGAATCGCAACCCCCTGAGTGACGTTGCGCGAACTGGCCAGCAGAATGTCCATGCCGGCCTTGGTGGCCAGCTTGGCCGTGGCGGCCGCGTCCCCAAAGGCGGCGAGCGAGCCGGCCTCCATGGCATCGGAGATGGTGACGCCGCGGAAGCCAAGCTCGCCGCGCAGCTGCTGCTTGATCCACTTGCTGCTCAGGCCGGCCGGGTAGGTGGCGTCGAGGGCAGGGTAGATGGCCCACGAGGGCATGACGAGGTCAACCCCGGCGGCCAGAGCCGCGTGGTAGGGCACCATGTCGATGGTTTGCAGCTCGTGCAACGACTCGGTCAGCGTGACGGCCTGCTCGTCGGTGTTGGCTTCGTGGGAGGCCGGGCCGAGGCCGGGGAAGTGCTTGGCAGTGGCGGCGACGCCGGCGGCTTGCTGGGCCGTGATGAAGGGGATGGCGGCCCTGGAGACCTGCTCGGATGTGTTGCCAAAGGAGCGCTCAAAGAAGTCCTCGAAGTCGCCCGGCCGGCGGTACACGTCAAGCACGGGAGCCAAGTTGACGTTGACGCCGTACTCGCGCAGCGTCCCAGCAGCCGCCCGACCGGCACCGGCCCCAGCCCCGGCGGCATCGGCGGCGGCGCCGATCTTCTTGGCCGACATGACGGGCTCCCCGTCAGCGATGCGGCGGACGCGCCCGCCCTCCTGGTCCGTGGTGATGAGGAAGGCGGCGTCACGGCCGGTGGTGCGGCGGAGCAGGCCCGGCGCGGGGGACGCGCGGTAGGCGGCGGTGAGGGCACGCATGGCGGCGGCAGTGCCGTTGTCGATGTTGGCGCGGAAGAGGATGACGCCGCCGACGAGGCCGGCGCGGGTGAGGCGGAGCAGCGCCTCGGGCGGCTGGCTGCTGTTGGGGTACGAGTAGACGACGTGTTGGCCGGCGAGGATGTCAAGGTCGCTTGGCTTGTCGCCATAGCCGCTGTTCTTGCTGCACTCGGCTGCGTGGCTTGGTGTGCCGAGGAGCAGGAGCAGGAGCGAGATGAGGAGTGGGCGATGCATGGCGGCTGAGGGGGAGACGTGCGATGTTCGGATTCACTTGGGAGCTGAAGCTTGCAGAGCTGATGCTAGATTTTTGACAGGCAGACAGGGCCGTTTCACATTCGTTGGAGCTCGGAGGGAGAGTAGCGTGGAGCGGGTGTCATGCCTTCTTTCCTCCCTTCTCGAACCGCGTCTATCTTATATGAACTGGGAATCCGACGGTGCCGGCCCAGCACCACAACAGGGTGGCACAGGAGAGAAGAGCCGGACAGCTTGGCGGACGCCGACCCGAGGTCCACCGAGGCCATGACGATAGCCAGGCCGGACGGGAACTCCCTGTCGAGCCATCATCGCCCTGCTCTGCCGGGGTGGTTCGGGGTTGAGCAGAGCGACGCCGGGCTTCTAGAAAAGCTTGTCTGCCGGCATGTCGTTGCGAGCGAATCTTGGGTATAGACTGCTCTCGGCTAGCCTGGCTTTTTCTCGCTTTTCTGTACTACTCCGTGCGGTGCGGAGTGTCCGGCCAAACTCTACCGGCCCCGCGGAGGCGGAGGAAGGGAGGGGACCGAGTGGGCGAGGAAAGGGTTGACGGAGCGTTGTGCGGACGTATGGGCTGTGTCCGGGGAAAGTCGACAGACTTGATGCGTCAACGACAGGCGGAAGCCAGCAAGTGGTCGGCCCGTCGTCGGTCATCCCTCACGCTGCGTCATCGTCATGCACACGGTGGGCTCTTGTCGGGGGTTGGGTTTTGTATACTGTCTCTGGTGGCGATTTTATTGTTCAAGGTAAATCTTGCTTTTGCGACCGGCTTGTGCGGACTCTCTACCTAAGCTCTGCCGCCCGTTTCCAGGGAGAATAAAGAATGTTGTTGAAATGGGAGTCCGAAAACACGCAAGAAAAGTGGCCCGTCATGCTCACGCGGGAAACTGCACGTCCATGCCCAAGGCCTTGGCCACCCACGCGCCGAGCGTCTGCCGGACAATGTTATTGCTCGCCCATTTGCGCGAAGGGTGGACGCGGTTGGCGAGGAACACCAGGAAGCAGCCGCTGGCGCGGTCGATGACGAGCGAGGTGCCCGTGAAGCCCGTGTGGCTGGCGGAGAGCGGGTTGGCCATGGGCCCGGCCGTGTAGTACTGGTTGAGCTCGAAGCCGATGCCGTGGTCCTGCCCGGGGAAGCGGGCGTTGAAGTTTGTAAAGACGAGGTCGACGGCCGCACGGGACAGGATCCGCCGCCCGCCGTAGGTGCCGTTGTTGAGAATCATCTGGCAGAAGCGCGCCGTGTCGTCGACGGTCGAGAAGAGCCCCGCGTGGCCGCCGACGCCCTCGAGCGCGTAGGCGTTTTCGTCGTGGACGGAGCCGCGGACCGGCTGCGGCCGCTCGGGCTCGCCGCGGCCGGGGCCCATGACGTCGGCCTGGAACTCTTGCGGGGCCACGAGGTTGGAAGCGACGCCCTCGACGTTGCCGCGGTTGAAGTAGGTCGTATTCATTCCCAGGGCCGCGGTCCAGACGCCGATGGCCCGGTCGAGCGTCGTGCCGCGGACCGCCTCGATGACAAGCATGAGCGTCATGAAGTTGAGGTCCGAGTAGACGTAGGCCCGGCCCGTCTCGTTCTGCAGCGGCTGCTCCAAGATGCCCGCGATCCGTGACGCGTACGTCGGGTAGGCGGTGGTGTTGTACAGGCCCGGGTCCGGGTCCGGCGCAAGGCCGCTGGTGTGCGTCAGGAGCTGGCGCAGGGTGACGGCGCCCTTGCCCCTGGCGGCGAAGCGCGGCAGCCACGAGACCACGGGGCCGTCGAGGTCGACCAGTCCGTCATCGACGCAGCGCAGGGCCTCGACGGTCGTCAACAGCTTGGTCAGGCTGGCCATATCGTAGATGGTGTCGACGGTGGCCGCCTCCTGACGCTCCGGCGGCAGCAGCTGGCCCCGGAACCCGTCGACGCCGGCCCAGAGGCTGCGCTTGCCCAAGGTGAAGCGGCTCACCACGGTGCCATGCCGGGCCACGACGACGGTGCCGCCGGGCTGAATCGGCACTACCTGGTTGTGCGAGTACCGCGTCCAGTTGCGTGCCTCGGTGAAGCGTGCCAGGTCCGGCACCATGTCCTCGAGCGGCTTGGATAGCATGCCCACTGACTCGGGCGTCCCGGGGCGGAGCGTGATGCCGACATCGCCATCGTTAACACAACTGTCTCCTTGCCGCGCCGCCGTGATGGCTACGACGGAGGCGAGACTCGGATACCACCGACCCAGATACATGTTTCACACGTTCTTGACTTTGCACCCCCTTTTCCCCCTATGCTGCGCTTTTATGACAGTTGGAGAGAAAGAGGGGTAAACGCGAACAGAAAGCGAGGCATCGTCCCGGCCGGGGTAGCGGTTCCGGCAGCCCCCCAGCTTCCGTTTGCGAGGCTTTTCGTGCCGAGTGAAGATACTCTCCAGGGGTTTCTTCCTGTCTTTTCCTTACGCGTGAGGCGATTGGCAGTCGGCGAGGAAGGCAAAAGGGCAAAATCGGCCGTAGCTGTTCCCTCCTGCGCACCTCACTACCCTACACCCACTCCACCCCGGCTCGCACATGGAATGTTGTGATCATAGTTGGTGTATGCGCTCAAGGGAGCCTGAGGAAGTCATCTTGCTTCTTCTTCTTTTGGGTTTGCGTCCTGTCTCGGGTAGCCGTCAATCGGCACCGCATGCTCATCCGACTGTGCCGAGCAGCCGGCGTGGGCTGCTGCGTCTAGACTCTTGTGTCTCTCTAGGGCCGTCCGCCGGTTCCGCGAGACCCGCCGCCATCGGAGGTTGCGAAGATGGACCATTCCCGACTCGGCGGCCGGCACGAGGGACCAAGGAGCTGCCGACATCTTGTACGCCACCTTTTGAGGTTGCGCCCCGAGCCACCCGGCCCAGAACCTGTATTCTGGCGAGCCACCAGCGTATAGATGACTCTGTCAACATTGACACCTTGGCAGACCTTTGGATCATGTCTCGCCCGCACATGGCTTGGCAGAGGGCACGCAGCGTCTCTTGTTCCTTTTCCCGGCAATGTGCCGAGGCATTTGTTTCAGCCACGGGGGGGATGCGTCTGATGTAGATGTTTCGTCGAGGTTGGACGAGTGAATGGCACGTGCGCGACCGAGTGGGCGAGTCTGTCGCTCGGAAGAAGCCTTGCCCTCCCTCAGAGGTGCAGGAGGTGTGGCAGACCAAAGGAGGGATGACGTCGACGGCGAGTCAAATGAAGACCGGTGTGGTGGTGGTCGAGAGGCAAGCGGAGTGACTTGGTAGTGAGTTAGTGGTGATGACGACGGCTGCATGCGGCAGCTGCTGGGCGGGCGCAGGCCATAGCTTGGAACTGAGCAGGCAAGGCTGCGCAACAGGCACGGCCATGGAATGAAGACACAGGATGATGGATGGTGAGGAAGAGCAAAAAAGCTCACGTGCCTCTACAGCGTGCTTACGAAAAACCTCTCCGCAGGTGCGGAAAACGCCTCGCAGAACTAAATGTACCGCTTGCTACATGGGCTGGTGGGCGCAAGTGCAGCATCGCCGGGTAGCAGCCAGCCAGTACCCAGTACACAGTACACAGTACACAGTACAAGAGGCCAGTGCTAACTGCGCCATCGATACCGGCGCTCTGTTTCCCGTGAGACGGCAGCGCTAGAAATCCAAGAGAGAGCTCGATGGAGGAAAAGAAGAGACGATTACCGGACCCGGGAAAGGTGGGAGAGTTCTGAAAAGGGAGAGAGGGCGAGAGCCAATGGCATGCGGTATGTACTGTACGTAAGAAAGGTAGTAATTAGTGGTAGGCTGCATGGGGGACCGATTCATGCGAGCCAGACAAGTGCATCCACCTGCTGTATGCGTAGGTACAGTAGAAGAGGCCCGTGATGATTGACGTAGTAGGTACTGGTAGTACTGTCTACCTTAACTCTGTACAGTACGGTAATTACTGGTATGTAGACTCGGTCCGCGCTTAAGCACCTGCCGGGTCAGTAAAGTCGTTCCGGCTTGATCCCTTGGCCGTTGGACACAAAGAGGATCCTTGAAACATGGAATAACAACAAACATCAATGCCCCCTCTCGACGTCAAGTGGGCTGTTTGCTTGGCTTTTTCAATCTTCCCGGTCCCCGGTTCGCTCGGAAAATTAAAGCCGTTGGGCAAAGGCAAGCATGTCGTCATAGCCATGCACCATGACTTGTCGGGCGATACATTGTAAGTTAAGCATCTACGAATACATACACTGGTTGGTGGGTAGATAGATGCGAGAGACACAGACCAAGAGAGAGACGCTTCATGTGTGATGTGCCTCGACGACACGCGCGTCCCCCCAGTCATGTGCCATCGTCATCCGTGGGGCCCGCGTCCTGCATGCCCTGCCTGTTGCGTGTGCACACTCTTGGACTCTTGGACTCTTGGACTCTTGGACTCTTGGACTCTTGGACTCTTGGTAATACACTACAGCCTGCCTACCTTTGTCCGTCATGCGGTGCCGGCAGTCGCGGATCAAGGAGGTGGTGAGAGGGAGGCAGTCGTTTTGTCGGCGACTCCTCATTCCAGTGGCTCTCGTCGACCCGATTTGGTGACCGGAGAGTATTGGGCAAAACTCTGTTTCGCTGCAACGACGACGACGCCATCGTCTTTTTGCTTGTCCCCTTGGTATCTGTGGTATCCTTGGTATCCGTACAGAGAGAGCCCCCTCTCGCCCCCACCCCGTTCGTTATTGGGCAATTTTCTTTCTTTCGACTTTTCACACACATTCATTCTCTCTTCATCCAGGCAGGCATCAATCAGGCAGGCTTCTGTCCCGGTTCTCGTTAGACGCCCCCTTTCCCCTACCATCTTTCCCTCTCGCCCTCACCATCCAGATCCATCCACCCATCCTCTCTCCCCCGACGCATATTTTTGCATGAAACGAGCCTCCGCCACAGCATTAACTACACGGCCGTTGTACCGCCCCGTCTTTCTGCCCGCCTCTTTGTCTGGCTTGGCAGGTACGGACGGAGTAACCAGGGATTGATTTGCTTTGTCCTCACCGTTGCCTCTCTGTTCCTCGGCCAAAATCCCCACTGGAAAATACTCGGTACGTTGGCTTGCCGTGTCTTGTCTCGTCTTCGCTCGCTCCCTCCTTCCCAGGCTCGAGCGAGTCATCAGCAACCCAAAGTACCCCCGCCTATTGCTCCTGCCCCGAATGCCACACCGACTCTATTACCGAGTACCTCTATCTATAGATACCTACCACCTACCTAGGTAGGTACGGTACGGTATGGGTTACCGAGTCGATTTGACCGCTAGTTGTTTTTCACGTCCACTGTCTGGTACACCCTCGCCCCTGTCCCGCCCTCTCCTCCCCCTGTCGACGTCAACATCGAGATCGTCAGCAGCAAAAAGCCTTCTCGTCTGTCCAGTTTATCCCATTATTCATTCATTCGCCACGGCGGCCACTCCGCCTCGCGTGTCCCACTTGTCCCATCTGTCGTTCACTCCGCCATCCCTGTCGCATGCGCATTACTCTCCGTCCCAGATCCTTCATCGCCCATCCCGATCACCATCCCTACATATACATATACATATATGTAGGCTTTGCCCGCGGCCAATTGTTGCTTCGACAACAGAGCCTTTCTTGCATCGCGGCCCAATCCTCGCTGCACTTGTCCATATTCTTCTCCCATATCCCGCGGCCCCCTCCCTTCTTCTAGGCGGCGGCGCCACTGCGTGTTGACAGCGACGTCCTAGTGTCTGTCTTCATCTCGCTCACGTTTCCAAATCTCATGCGATCGCGCGCTTGGACGTCGCACACCCCTGCCCCCTCCCTCTACCCCAACCAGGCGCACGACCCATGACATTTTTGTCCCGTTCGCTCGCTGTTTTAAGATGAACGCACTGCAAACTCCTTCTCCAAGTTGAACAGCCTCCTCCTCGCTGGCCGTGCAGAAACGCCCTCGGCCTTGATATTCCTCGCCCTCTCTTAACACCTGGATTGCCTCTCTCTGTCCTCTCTGCTCAACCCTTACATGTCTCGCCCGTCGCCGTCCAATCTCTCCACTGCAACGACGGCCATCCTCGCCCTCACCCCCCTTTTATGCTGTCGCTGTCAAACCTCCCCCCCTTGACACTGACAGCCTCTACTTTGTTTCATCTTTTCCTCTCCCACCGCCTGGGCTCGCCCGAGGCAACTGACGGTTAACACCACAATGCCAGCACCGGCTCGCCAGAACCGCTCGCGCAACGGCAACTGGATCATCTCCAACGGCGGCAACGTCTTCTATCGCGCTGACAGTCTTACCCGCGAAGGGTCGGCTGCCCAGCAGTCGTCACCGACTCTTCCCGCGCCCCTCATCGGCCCAAGACGCACCAGGCCTCACGCCATCCACATCGTCACCTACCCGCCCGGCTACGTCCCACGCGAGTTGCGGCCCAAGCCTGCCAGCAAGTCCAAGAAGGCGGCCGATTCGCTACGGTCGCGTTCCAAGAAGGCGGCCAAGCCCGGGTCCTCCGACGCCCAGAACTCCGCCGACGCCGGCGGCAACGTCGGCAGCAGCTCCAGCAGCCGGAGGAGAAGCCAGCTTCAGCAGTCACCCGTCCTGGGGAAGCTGCTCGCGTCTTTTTCCCCAAGCGCCCGCGCGCCCTCACCCTTGTCATCGTCGGTAGAGTCCCGACAACGACGAGGCCCGGCCACTCTAACGGGTCCTGCGGCGACAGGGATTCAGATCCCAATACAACCATCCACAAGCCTTAACACTCACCTGCGCCAGCAGAGCTCCTTGCGAATTGAGGCCCACAGCCAGCTGCGACCACGGCCGCTACGGCAGCACCAGCAGAACCGATACAGCCTACCGCTTCCCCAGGCGCTAACGGCGTTGTCAGCACTGCGATTCTCGGACGACCTCGACGCGAGCCTCGTTAGGCCCACAAGTGCCAGCTCCAGGTCCATCACCGCCGACCACTTGGCCTCTGTCTCCTCGCCACCCTACTCCGCCATCGCAAACGCCCACGCCATGGCCGCCATGATCCCGCCCGCCGCCTACCATCTCGGCGGTGCCGGCGGCAACAGTAACCGCAATAGCCTCATGTCGGTCCGCTCCGCCAAATCGGCTGTCAGCTCCCTCGTCGCCGAGGTTCCCAAGCCCGTTGCCTCCGGCAGCGGCGTCACGTGTTCCATTCTCATGGCCGAACCGAACGTCTTCCTCTCTGGCTTTGACCACGACCACGACACCCAGCGCGAGAGCTCCAGCGGCGGCACAGCCCTGCTGCGCGGCAAGCTTCACCTCTCTGTCAGCAAAAACGTCAAGATAAAGGCTGTCCAGCTCAAGCTCATTGGTCGCGCCCGCACCGAGTGGCCAGAGGGCATTCCCCCGCTCAAGCAGGACGTGGTCGAGGAAGAGAGCCTGCGCACCCAAGTCTTGACCTTTTTCAACGCCATGAACGACGGCTGGGAGACCGAGTACGGCAACCAGTGCACCTACCAGCTCCGCGCCAGCTCCGCCACCTCCAGCTCCACCAACCTGGGGACCATGCCCCGCGTCCACAGCCTCAAGCCCATCTCGACCCCGAACCGCGGCGGCCTGACGGCCAAGGAGCTCAAGCGCCTGTCTCTGCAGAGCGTCCAATCGCGCAGCTTCGGAAAGGGCGACAGCGGCGTCGCCGTCTCGACCCAGGCCAAGGGCTTCAAGATCTTCTACCCGGGCACCTACGACTACTCCTTCGAGCTCCCCATCGACCACCACCAGCTCGAGACGACCAAGCTGCAGTATGGCTCCGTGCGCTGGGAACTGCACGCCACTGTCGACCGCGCCGGCGCTTTCAAGCCCAATCTACACGGCATGAAAGAGGTTTCCATTGTACGCCTGCCCGACCAGATGTCTCTCGAGACGACGGAGCCCATCTCCATCAGCCGGCAGTGGGAGGACCAACTACACTACGACATTGTCATCTCGGGCAAGAGCTTTCCCATCGGCTCCAAGATACCCATCGCCTTCAAGCTCACCCCATTGGCAAAGGTCCAGATACACAAGCTCAAGGTGTACGTTACCGAGACCATTGAGTACTGGACCAACGACAAGCGCGTCACCAGAAAGGATCCGGGTCGCAAGATTCTGCTGCTTGAAAAGTCCGCCGGCAAGCCCTTGGATTCCACCTGGGCCTCGTCCGACATGAGGACGGTTCGAGGCGGCGAGCCGAGCGCCGAAGAGCGCCGCGACGCACGCGAGGTGGCGCAACTCAGACGTGTCCTCGAAGCGTCAAGGACGCGTAGCTCACCCGAGCCGTTGCCCGAGCCTTCGGCCAACCTGCTCGGCGACCTCGAACTGGGCCTGGAGAGTATGTGGGGGTCAACGGAGATCGAGGCCAACGTCCAAATCCCAACCTGCGAAATGATGGCCAAGAATAAGGACTTGAAGCTGCATCCGGACTGCAGTTGGAAGAACGTCAATGTCTTCCACTGGATCAAGGTATGTGTCTTCCATTCGGGGCATTTGGCCCGGCACCATCGTTTGTCCCATTTTTATGGCTAATCTGAGTCGTGCCTGTGTAGATCGTCATGCGTATTAGCCGGGTGGACCCAGAGGACCCCACGGGAACCAAGCGACGACATTTCGAGATCAGCATCGACTCTCCCTTCACGGTCCTCAACTGCCGAGCTACACAGGCCAACACCAACCTGCCTGCGTACTCGGGCCCAGTTAGCCAGCCGTCGCCGTTCCAAGCAGCATGTGGTTGCCCGGATGCCGCCTCGGTAGCCACCGGCATCTCCCCAAGCTCGTCGACAGGGACGTTGCTGGGGGGCGAACCGATGACTGACGTACTGCCTCTTCCTCCTCAAGCAGCGCATCTGCCCAGCCCGACAGCCGCAAGTTTCGCCACCGACCTGCAGAGCCCCAATGCGTCTGCCGAAGGGCCTGGCGCTTACGAAGACGCACGCCCAATTCACCTGATGCGAGCCCCCAGCTTCGATCCCCCGGCGTTCTATGCCGACATCGCGCCACCGCCCGCTATTGTCATCGAGAATCCAGATGCCGTCGTGACGCCCGCCATTCTCACCCCGCCTCCGCAATATGATGCTGTGGTTGGGACCCCGAGCGTCGATGGCCTCGCCGACTACTTTTCGCGCCTTGCCCGCCATGGCTTCCCCGACGAGGAAGACTCGAACTCGGAGTCCGAGGAACTGCCGTCGAGGATTCTGGATCGGACGGGGAGGGTTAACGTCTCTCATCCGAGGACGCCAGGTGGACGGATGCCCAGCAGGAGCATGGAGATTCCTCGCCCGTCATTGACTCTCGACTTGGACAGTCTCCCTGATCGATCCAGAGAACCTGCCATCCCGGGCCTAGCGGTTTAAGGAGAGATTGTTGAAGTCACATTGCTGGAGCTGGGTTTTTCTTATATATTTTGACGTTCCACGAGACCAAAGAACGTGCACAGAAGCCTTCAGGCACTCGACAACTTTTCACACTTTTCTTTATCTGTTTCTTTTTTTTATTTCGAGCGCATCTGAGCAAGGCGAGCGATCACCCAAGCAATGCGGCGTTGGCATGTCGGCTTGGTTGATTTTTGCATACCCTATGGGAAAGGAAGCGCGTGTTTCAATTCCAGTCCCTGCCGCTTGCATATACGACAGTTATCCGGGGCGCAAAGGGTTATGTAGGGAAAATCTTTTTTTCCGGTGTGAGAGGATCGTCACGAAGTCGTCGCTTCACTGCAGGCGCGCCAAGCTTGTATGGAAGACGTGGAGGATAAGAGGGCTGGAAAGAAGGACATGAAGAGAGGAGTGCCGTCCTCTGGGCACGCATTTGCCCCGTGTACGTACATGTATACGTGGATACTACACTATCACTTTGGAGGACACTACGAAAAGGTCTTTCCCTCTCCGTTTGCATTCCCTATTATTCCCGCTTCCTTGACTGCGAGAGAGAAGACTTGCGACCTTGAGCCGGAGGTCCGGGGACGACCTGAAGTGCGCTTAGGCGACTGGCAATAACGTGTAGCCCATCCAGGACGCAGGCATGTATATTGCGCAGGTAGTACATTGAAGACTAAAAGGCGGACTGCCAGTAGACACAAGCATCAACGGAGTGATGACCTAAACGCCGACATTCGTCGCTGCCTTGTGCTCCGGTCCGGATGGAATGCCATGAGATACGCTCTCCCCTCCGCTTCTCGCTGACGAACAAGCAAAGCCAAAAAAAAAGTTGGAGAATAAAGGAAGCAATGAATAATAAAAAGACCAATGTGTCCGGGCCCAAGCCTAAACGCCGCCCCCCTGCGATCCCCCCGCGGCCCCGCGGCCCTCGCCATTGGCAGCGGCGGCGGCGGCGGCGGGCGTGAGCGGGTGCTGGGGGTCGTAGCCGACCGACTTGACAATGCCGAGGCCCTTTGTGCGGCCCTCGCGGAAGAGCAGGCGGTCGCCGGGGGCGAGGTACTCGGGCCGCTGGACGAAGCGGAAGGCGACGGTGGCGCGGTCGCCGGTGCGGATGAGCTCGCGGTCAATGTCGATGATGGCGCACGTCTGTGAGACGGGGCCGACGTGCAGCATGGCCTGGTACTTTGTCTTTATGGTTGTAGCATGGGAGAGGATGAGGACTTGTGTTGATGGGTTGTCAGCTCCATGCCTCAGACGTCATTCTTGGCGACGTGCCTGCCTCAAAACTCACCTTCTGCGATGAACTCGCGGTGCACGCGGGGAGCGGGCTGGCCCTCCATCTTGGGGAGGACGACCATGCCTTTCCTCACGTCGCGGCGCCGCACCTTTTTCAGCGCAAACGAGGCCGACTGCCCCGCCGACGCGGCCGGCACGCGGATCCTTTTGCGCTCGATGGAGCGGATCGCCGTGGCGGTGAACTGGCCGAGCGAGTCGGGTCCGACGAGGACGTTGTCGCCCTCGTGCGCGACGCCCGACTTGACGATACCCGAGACGACGGTGCCGGTAAAGGGCACCGAAAAGGTGTCGTTGACGTGGAACTCAAAGGGCGCGTCCGTGTTGTAGCGGCCGTGGTGGGGGAGGATGTTGAGAAAGGTGCGCACCAGGTCGAGGTTCTCGCCCGTCACGTTCGAGACCTGGAAGACGGGGCATATGCGGTGGCTGACAAACTGCGTCGCCGTGTTGATGCACTCCTCGCGGTTCTTGATGAAGGTGGGCACCTTGCGGGCGCCGGGGCTGCGCATGATCTTTGTGATTTGCGCAATCGTCTCCTCGAGGATGTTGGGCGGGCAAATGTCAATCTTGGTCACGACCACCATGACGGGCACGTTGAGGGCCAGCGCGATGCCCAGGTGCTCCTTGCTCATGCCCACCAGGCCGTTGTTGGCCGCGACCATGAGCAGGCAGTAGTTGGGGCTGCTCGAGAGCAGCCCAAAGACTGTCGTCCGCAGGTACTTTTCGTGGCCGGCCAAGTCGGAAAACGTGATGACCTTTGCGCTTCGCTTCCCAATCTCCTCCCACGAGAGCTTGCCTTGAGAGAGTCTCGCCGTGTCAGCGGTGAACTGGGAGGGGCGGTTATGAGGAACTCACGTCCGGGCGTGTCCGAGGCAATGACTTTGCCCACGCTGTCAAAGCCCATAATCTCCATGCCGACGGAGCTGGTCCGCCCAGTCTCCATCTCGTGCTTATGGCGAAAGAGGTTCACCCGCGCCTTGCCCCGTCCATCGTCCAGGTCGCCCTTAACCAGAACGCCAAGCATGGAGCTCTTGCCGGCGTCGACTGCAAAAAAAGGGGAACGGTGTGTCAGCGTTGGCGTGGAGAGATATGGAGAGAAGGGGTCGCCTTACCGTTTCCAACAACTGCTATCCTCGTCTCAATCACGTCCTCAGCCTTGGGCGGCACTCGCCGGATGAGTACCTTGCCGCTGCAAGTGTTATCCTTGGCAGCCTGACCGGCGGTGCTGGCCGCCTCGACTTTGCCCCCGACGTTCTTGGTCAGCAGGAGCTCGCAGTCAGCACGAACGCCCTTTGCTGCGCCGACCAATCTCTTGTACGCAGAGTCCCACTGCTCCCGAGTAAGCTGCATGGAGTCGCCGTTATTCTCAAAGCCCAGCTCGAAGACGGTCTCGCCCATGCCCTCGGCGATGCGCTCCGCGACGACATCCCTAAGCCTCTGGAGGGAGTCGTCATCGGACCCGAGAAGCAGGTCCCTCAGCGGTATCCTCGGGGCCGTGTCGTCAAGGTCTAGGTTGTCAAAGAGCTCGTCCAGCTCCTCGTGGTGATGGTCCGCGGATCCAGAGCTGGGAGCAGGGCCGGGGCGGGTTCTTCTCGAGGCCGGGAAGCGGAAATTCTGTTGCTGCTCGACGTACTCGGCAAAGTCGCTCAGAGCCTGCGCGATTGTGAGACGGCAAAGCGCGCAACGAGGGAGAGCGGCTAGCACCGTACTGACTCCCCCTTGCGCTTCTCGTGCGCCAGGGTCTTGGTTGTCTTGCCCGACATGTCTGTAGCGCGGCGGCGGCAAGTCGAACAAGGAGCATCACCCGAATATTCGAGGAAACATCGAGTTCTGGAGAGCAAGGATTCAAGGTCTGGGTTATGATGATGTTCTTGCCGACTGACTCTTGTCGCCCCACGGGAGTTATCGATCACTATGGGAGTCATCGATGGAGCCGAGCCGATCGCGGGGGGCAGCGACGACGACGTCACTCGGCTACAAAGATATGTGGCTTAGAGTGGCGACGCAAGTAGACAGTATGCAGCTACCAAGCTTGACTTGAGCTCCTACTACTACAAGGCGATCCCTTGTCCCATCTCATTTGCGGGACAATGCATCAGACGTGTTGTTCCGTATTGAGAGTACCCGTAAAAGGCTTTGAGATTGAACGTGATCCTCACATGATGCTCCCTCCCGATGCTTTAGACACTGCCGCTTCATCAATCCGAATTCGCATTGTCCGGTTGATCCCCGGCAGAGGGGCGGCTCAGTCGGCCTCGTGGTGAGCACTTGCGTTTATTGGCAGAGATATGAATAGAGTTGAGACGGTGTCTGCCCCGAGTTCGCTGCATCCGATGCCACATAATGTATGAGTCCATGCTCTCGTCGGGTGATGGCGGCGCAGTTGCCCTGTCGATTCTTGCAAGCATTTCGCGGCGCGACAGTCGACGAAGCGTTGCGATTCCCTCGAAAATATTTCAGAACGGCGCCTGAGGCGAGATCAAGACGACGCTGTCACCTGTTGCGCACGCCATGTCAGCAAGGGGTGCGTGGTAGGCGCCATGTGCTGCAGGCAACGTACCTCGCACGAATAACATTTCAGACTTGCGGCTTATTGTCTGCAGCAGTGGTGAGCATCATGCGCGCGACACGCGTGGTGCGATAGACATCTCACCTTAACCTCGTCCTCGTCCTCGTCCTCGTCGTCGACGGCGTAGATGGTCTCCTCCACCTCGCCCAGCACCAGGTTGCAGTGGCTGTCATATGCCTGTCGCGAGCGTCAGCGCCAAGTTCCGCGGCATGGGGGTCTGCCACTCATCCGCACATGAAGCTTCCCCTTGAGCTCGCGGTCTCCCCTCAGCTTGACAAAGACGACCTCGTTGAGGAGCAGCCGCACCAGGTCGAGAGGCTCGGCGACGTGTCCGGTGTCCTCGCCCGCGTCGGCCATTGCACGCGCCGCCTGCGATGGTGTCTCTGGGGTACTTGGGGCGATGGAAGTGGCGTCGCTCAGTCGAGAAGGGGACGAGGTGGGCGCGAGGATGATGTCTCGTTTGTGCTTTGCGACGCCAAAGAGCAACCGCTGGCGGAGTGGAAAATCATTTGCGCGACATGCATTCGCTCACCGGGGATATCATGTATGCATTTGGCAGTTATGCAGATATCCGGGACCGAGCCTCCATGCGTGTACCCCTCCCGGAGTCCTCCGTGCGGAACTACGGATACAGTGCTCCGTACCCCAACTTTTTCCTGCTCCAGTGGGGGCCGCTCCGCTGTGGACCTGCCCTGGATTATCGGCCGTTGCCCCCCATCCCCCATTCCACATCACCACCACCACCACTCGCCGTCGCTTGTGTACGCGCACCTTTCTTGCTCGCATCCTGTCATCTCGGGCACCCCGTCGCCCTGAGTGCCAATGCCTTGACCTGTGAGCCATGCTCTTCAGAGGACCCCTGCTCCGGCCCGGCCGCCTCCCTCCGCGCCTCCGCCGCCGGCCCTCACCAACAAGCCGCAATGCCACCGGCGGCCCCTCGAGCAGCGGCAAGTCGTGGCCCCAGAGCCTCCACGATAGCTTCCCCCTAGCGCGGGACCCGCCCCTGGGCGGCGCGCTCGAGAGCGTCCTGGATGCCGTGCGCACCAACAACACGGGCCAGCTCCTCAAGGCCTTCATCGCCTGGACCTCAGTCTTGCGCAGGCACACACTGCCGACCCACGACGCCGCCGTGCGCGAGGTCCAGCAGCTGCCCGCCACGGCCGTGTCGGAGATTGTGCGCAGCCTCGACCCCGTGCTCAACCCGCATCTCGACGTCGCCCACGGCCTCACCATTGGCAGCGGCGAGACGCAGTTCACGCCCGCCGCATCCCTCGTCGACGAGTTCGGCGTCCGCACCCACCACGGCGAGGTGCTCCTCGGCATGCAGGCCCTGCTGCGCGCCCGCGCCCGCCAGCCCCTCGCCCCGGCCGACTACGAGGTCATGATGCGCTGCGCCGGCGCCGGCGTCGACCGCCTGTCGGGCAAGCGCTTCTGGACCGCCATGACGGACAGCGGCCTGCAGGACTGGCGCACCTCGCGAACCTGGGTCGAGTTCCTCAAGGGCCGCTTCATGACGGAGCCCCTATACTACCAGTTCGACCGCACCCGCGCCCTGACCTTGCCTCGCGACCTGCACCGCGAGATGAAGCCCCTGTCGCTCGGCACCGTCAAGCGCCTCGACCGCATCCGCCTCGGCCTCAACGCCCTGAGCCACCACCCCTGGAACCGCGATCCCGCCCAGCCCGAGCGCGACTGGCGCCGCCTCCTGCGCAAGCGCATCGGCTACGGCAGCTTCGTCAAGCATTTTTACCGCATGATTGGCTACGGCTACGCCGTCAGCGAGGAGTTTCTGTGCGCCTCCATGGTGGCCTTTTCGCGCTGCGGCCGGCAAAACGACATCTGCACCCTGATCCTCGAGGGCCACTACGGCATCCGCGTCGTCCGCAACCAGGAACTCTTCCGCTGGGACGTTGAGGGCGGCAACGATCTACCCGCCGACTCGCCCATCCGGCCCACGGCCCGGCTCCTCGACGCCGTCGTCGACGCCTTTGGCGCCCTGTGCAACCTGCCCCTGGGCCTCGACCTCGTCCAGCACATCTCGCAGCGCTACAGCCTGCCCATACCACCGGAGACGTGGTCCAACCTCCTCCGCTGGGCCTACATCAACGCATCGGCGCCTTATCGCCACATGCGCGAGGCCGAGCCGCACCGCGACCTGCGCCCGGCGTCCATCCGGGACCCGCTCCACGTCTGGCGAACCATGACGTCGGAGCCCTACAACGTCGAGCCGTCCTTTGACGACCACTGCTGCCACGTCAAGATGCTCATCCGCATCCGCTCCTTTGCGCCCGCCATCGACACCATCAGGAACCAGCTGGTGCCGCGCTACAAGCTCCTCGACGACGAGTACCACAAGGCCGTCCTCGACGAGCTCCTCGTCAACGACACCGCCCTCACCCCGCGGCCCGCCACCCACCGCCGCCGACAGGCCGAGGTGCACAAGGACCACGCCCGCTACCACATCGCCCGCTGCCTGCACATGCTGCTCAAGACGGCCTCGCAAAACGCCGCCCACCGCCGCGGCCGCGTCATGCGCGTCCTCGTCCCCAACCTGCTCGCCGAGTTCGCCGAATTCTTCCCCCACTACGTCAGCTACCGCACCGCAAACGGCCTCGCCGTCATCCGCCGCGACGGCGCGCCCCGCCGCTTCGACTGGGTCCGCGCCTGGCGCACCACCCTGCCCGCCAACCTGTGCAGCGGCCATCTCGACGAGGACGGCTCCGTCGACTCGAGCCAGTGGCCCAGGGCCGAGGACATGAGGGTCTTGGGCTGGCAGCGCGTCCCCAGGCCCAGGCGCAAGATCCTGGGGCGCGCCCCTGTCCCGAAGGACAAGGCCGTGGTGACGGACGCGACGGATGTGTCAAAGGTGACGAGCGCCGATTATACGCTGCGCCACGAGGGCATCATGTGGTTTAAGAGGCTGGAGCGAGAACTCATGATGTAGCAGTAGCAGTGTGTCTGTCATGTTCAAAGCTGTAAATGGCAAGATACCGAAGCGTCTGTGTAGAAGGCTTGTACAATAATACATTGTCCTCCCGGCTTGGCTGCCACCGTCTATCCACTACCCTCTTTCGCGTTGGCGCTACCCAGACAAGCAGCTCCAAACTGGAAATCGGCACCCCCACGAGACGTAGATGGCGGCGGCACATCATTCTCTCTTACCGTCTCAGTTCTCCCAAAAGGCCGGATATTCAATCCTTGTCCAACTCACTTGGCCATTCCCATGCTCGCCTACATAAGTCATCGCCATCATCTATTCGATACCTTTCCGCCATTGTCATTTCGCATACCGTATGTCCGTCTCGTCTCATACAAGGTGCTGTGACGCCCCGGCTAGTAATGAGCCCTGCTAACGATGAGAAAGAAGAAATTGTACAGGGGAAAAAGGAGGGAATTCGAGAATGGAAAATACCAAGACATTGCTTGTATCAGAGGTTTGCGGTCAACTCCAAAAAGGACAAGATAACCTCAAGAGTACGCGGAGGGGCGCGTCACCCACAGCAAGCAGCCATCCTTGCTGCGAGAACTGAACGGCATGCGCACGTCCTACGCTCCTCCGACAGCAGCCTCGGCCAAGACACCGAGGAGGCTCGCCGCGGCGCCCCCGATGCCCACGGCGCCAAGCGTTTCGCCCCAGGCCTTCTTCTTGATGTTCCGCTCTTCCCTGCGGTCCCCTCGTCGATCGCGGTGAGGCCGGTGATGGTCGCCCTCAGGGCCCCGGTACCGGTCACCGCTGTATCGATCGCGCTCGCCGCTGTAGCGTTCACTGTCGCGTCGATGCCCATCACGGTTACGGCCTGAGCCCTCTCTGTCCCGGCTGTCGCGCGGCCTTCTGGAAGCGTGGTCCTCGCGACGATCACGCTCGTCCTTGAAAGACCGGGCGCTCTTCGGTTTCACTTCATGGGGCTCGGGGTCGAATCTGACGTGATTTTCGTTCTTGTTCTTCAGAATTGGCTTGGGCATGACGGTACTGGCCGGCGAGGTCTTGTCCTTGCTCGGGGGGTTGACGATGTATGGGTAGCTCTTGCTATCCTTGTCAAAGGACGTCTTGTCATCGTCGTAGTCGGTTGAGTCGCTTTCGTCCCAGAGCGCACTGTCGTCATCTTCATCGTCGCCGCTGCTCTTGGAGTCTGCACGCTCTCGACGCTGATGCCTGTCGTGCCGTCTCTGGGGCGGGTGCCCGCCTGACCTGGCAGCTCGACATTCGGCGCTCTGGCGGGCATAATCGGCAATCTGCTCGCGCGTGAGGCGGCCGAGAACCGCGACGTAGTCGGGGCGGGCCTCGTACCGGACCCGGGCTCGTTCGAGGACTTCGGGGCTCACCAGAGTCCGTCTTATCCTGGTCCACTGCGCCTCCATAGGGATTTCCTTGCCGTAGCGGTCTGGTGCCAGACGCGACGGCATCGATCTTGTGCTCAAGGCATGGGATGGCGAGTGAGGCGCCGAAGCAGTCTGGAGAGATGGGTTATACGGATTCCCAGGAGACGAACCCAGCAGCAGGGAGTTGGCCGAAGCCGAAGGATTATGGGATGAGGCAACATCTATTCTTCCTGTGGCCCCAGAGGTCAGGTACTTTTGGGTGCTTCTTGGCGACGAGCGATGGGCGTGAACATGGGGTTGAAGATGCAGCCCCGCCATACCCGACTGTAGAGAGTCCATGGCCATTAGATCCTTGGTAGAGATGAGGGTCATGGAGTGGGTCCTGGCATTTGTCCCATCATCCGAGGTGAATGAATGGCCCTCATACTGTGAAGGTGATTCGGGGATATGTCCGGGCTGGCGTCGCTCACTCTTGACGCTAAGGAGAGACTTTTCCTCGAAGACGGAAGGGTGAATACGCTCCTTGGGGGGCACGGGTGGTGGTCCAGGGTTCCGGGCATGGTTCTCAAGGAGGCCGCGGACGCTTGGGGGAGCACCGCCGGTGAGGGTCGACATGGTCTCAAGCTCACGAATGTATGCGCGCAACACCTCCTGGGAGCGGGCATGGCATTAGTGCATGTGTGCTCTGGAAGAGTCATGCTTGGGCCGGTGGGTTCTCACCTTGTGCTGACGCAAGACCTGAGGCGAAAAGCCTTCCTTTTCGAGCTCCGACTTGAACTCTTGCCACAGTCGGTCCTCATCGCCAATGGTTCCGCCGAGGTCTCGCCGGCCAAAGAGCCTTGCGGCGATGTCATCCACCTTGTCTTTGATGCGCTCGAGGCCGGCGTCACTGCCGTGCAGCATGTGGTCGGAGGGAGCGTGAGCAGGGTTGTGCAGCTGCACAGTATCTAGCAGCATGTCGACGCTCATCTTTTCGTTTTCAAGCCTCGATCGGACGGCAGCCACGCGGTCGGCAAGGGCGTCTAAGTGACGGCCACCGGAGGCATCATAGCGGTCGAGCACTGTCTCGAGCTGCTTGAGGGCAAAATCGCAATCCTGGACAATAGGCTGCACTTGGCGGGCATAGACTGTCGAGTCGGGCCCCTGGTTGAGCAGAGAATCGGGGTCGGCAGCCTCGACGCGGAGATGGCGGAGGGCAAGGTGGAGCTGACGAACGGCGAGGGCGGTGTCGGACAGAGGACGAGCGGGATGTTTCTGGGCACGCAAGAAGAGAGTTCTGGCAAAGGCATCGACGGCGTCGATATGTTGGAGGGAGCCGGAGCCGCTCATGGCTGGCCGAGTCGGAAGGGAAGTCGGTGGCTTCTGGTGCTGTACGATGGTGTTCCAGTCTGCTTCACTTTGCTGGGCGGGCGACGGGTGATGTGCCGGATTGTTGGTTTACGTCGCCTCTGCTCTTGCACTGAAAGGGGTAGAAAGTCACAGAAGAAGGCCAGTGAGTAATACGAACGGTGGTGTAGGGCAGTGGATCGGCGGGCCGAAGCTGGGTGATATCACGAATGCGAGCGGGACGCTGGCGTGGCGCACGCGGATGTCGGCGGTGGGGGGGAGTGTGGGGAAATGCTGCGCTTTTAGGTCTTCCTGCATGTGTATTTCTTTTTCAGTACGATGCCGTTTGAAGACGTGGTGGTTGCGGAGAGTATGTGAGGTTGAGAAAAGAAGAAGAAGAAATGCCGAGGAGGGGCGAAGAGGAGACGGGATACAAGACGGGATACAAGAGGAAAGATCGCGTGAGTGTGTCGATAAGCGACCCAGGTACCTGAGAGTACATGCATCCAGACAAGATGGCATTGTGCGATAGGCCCATCCTCTTCCCCGGGTAGGTTCCCATTTGTCCTGCATGCATGGCAGAGGTAGCGTTGGCTGCGCCCTCCATCTCGTGACTGATAGGTCCAACGCCTCGAGAGACCTGCCGTCTTCCCTCTCCCGAGGCTTTTTGCAGGGCTGACTTGCAAGGGAGCGTGAGCGTGAGCGCGTCGAAACTTGACGCCAGGAACTTGTACTTGTTGCTTCGTAGACCGTACTGTACTCCGTACCACAAAGACAATGAACAGTGAGTCCATGATGCTGTCGAGGTTGCCCATGTCCCTACGGATTTGAAAGTCTCTTTTCAAAACGACGTCTTTCTTCGCCCCGCCGAGTGACGTCAGTCGCCCGTCTTCTCATTGGCCCACCTCTCCCAAGAGCAGGGCTGACCAACCGAAACCCCTGCCGCCCCGGTCACCCGCCACACCCGCACTCACACCCACACTCACGCCCACACTCACACCCACGCTCGTCTTGTTGAATTCCTTCGGAACCCCGACTTCTCGCCCGGCGTCACGTCACCAGCTCGACAACAACCCCACAAGGCACTCTCCCACGCACAGGAACCCTCAGCCGTAGCCTGCGCTTCCCCCAATGTCTTGGACCCCCTCGCTAGTACATGGTGTTGTGTGCCCCTTGTGCCATCCATCGTTCCCACAAACCGCCTGCCGTCGGCTCAAAGAAGAAAGGTGAAGGAAGCGGAAAAGAAAAACCCGCTGAGGCTGTGACGCCACCGCCGCTGGGCGACTCTCGCTTCTCCGTCCTGCCGCTGCACGCATTCATTAGCCGCCATCGTCCATACGGAGTATCCGCACTCAGCCATGGATTCTCGTCCGCCGCCGCCGCCGAGACAGTCACGCTTTGCTTTTTACCTCCAGTTCGCAGCCGGCCCGCACACCATTCCAGACTCCCATGTCTTCGCCCTGCCTCTTCAATGCTGGAGCCTCATCCACTCCAATCCCTGGGACTCTCAGCGAATAGGCAGCCACGTTTCTCACCCCCTTCCACCACGTCTCTGCTTATCCCCCCCCCCCTATTCCGCGTCCCACGAGCCCGCCTTACCCGGCACTCGGTAACACGAACATGGCCATCGCGGCTCCTCGCTGGACGCTTCTCGTCCAACGACTTTGCCTGGAGCCTGTTCATCGCGGTGCTCAGCATATGGGGCAATTTCATCGACATCCCGTAGCATGGGGCCCCATTGGCCTCGCCTCCTTCTTTCAACAACGCGTACCAAGTACGGATACAAGCACATGCATGTCATTCGTTCAATGCCTCCGTAGCCCGCATTGAATCCTATACAATCGCTGCAAGTAGGCAGTGGCTCGTCTTACGCCCCGACGCCCGGCCGTGGGACTGATGCCAGAGGGGCACCCGTCCCGCTGCCTTGCCCGAACTTCCTGCGCCTCGCCTCGCCTTTTCTCACAACCCCGCTTGTCGCCGCCTGCCCCTTCATCAGCCGCCTTGCTCGTTTTTTCTTCCGTCCTTTACCTCCGATTCACCCTCCACCGGCTTCGCACAGTCGAAATTGCCTCGTCGCGCTCGGGTCAGACACGTGGAACACGGCTCAAACGGCAATCTTCTCCAACGAATATGCCTCCACGTTCCGACTGATCAAATGCCCCGTCTCCCGCATGCTCCGTTGCACAACCTCACCACCCGACACCACCTTGTCCATCGTAGGCAATTGCTTCGTTTTCAGGCCGAGTGGCAGCATTCGAGACTCTCGCGCCTCGAGGTGAACCGAGATGGGCTTGCTGCTGTTCCATGTCTGCCGTGAGGCCCATCTCTTGCCGGCCGTGATGCCGAACCGGACGGCTTCACCCACGACGCCGTTGAGATACACAGCCTCCTCGATCCCCTCCAAAGCCGCAGTCACCTCGAGCTTCAGAGCCGTCAGGAAATCGCCTGCCTCCGTCTTGTCGGCCCAGGACATGGCGTCGTTAAAGAGCCATCCGCCGGCACCAATGGCATCCAAGCATCGCCCCAGCAGATCAGCGATGAGGGTAATGACTCCGTCAGGTGGGGGCTCGTTGCCCTCCGATTCGAACCTGGTCGGGTCGATATAGAGGGACGTCCAGGCGCCTCGGACCAGCTCGATCCGTAGCAGGTAGATGAATGCCAAGATCTCTTCCGTCTGTATCGTTGCTCGGAGCGCCCTGACGGTTGATACGGCAGGCAGTCGCCAGAGCTTGGTGAATGCCAGTGTCAGGCCCCGTGATCGGCTGCTCGACTCGTCCCCGAGGTAGTGCTCGGTGACGGCAATCTCTCGTTCCAGGTCGTCGAGATCCATCTCGTATTTGTCGTTTCCGTCATGCGGCTCGTTTGTCAGCAGCCTGGTGGTGTCCAGCGTCTTGTCCTTGGTACCCGAGATCAGATCCATGCTGAGCATCAGTATTCGAATGGCAAGTAATAGTTCCACCTCGCCCAGTTTCGTGGCTTGCAGGTAGTTGAGAAGCAAGGTCATGGACGCGTCCGCCTCGATGATGCAATCAATCAGACTGCTAGCCAGTGACCTGCATTCCGCAGGCTCGTTGCTCAAGTCCGCCCGGAAAGCCATCATCAGATTGGAAAGGGTGAGATGTCCGGCAACGACGAGGTATGTCGTGACGTTGCTGTCGGCCAGAACCAGGCGGAGTTTGGGCCGCGGCTCGTCCAGGGATGTCTCCACCGAAAAGACTTGGCTGATGGCGTACATTGTCCAGCGACGGTCGACTGGAGGATACGAGCTCTCCGTCATCCACTCCCACTCCGCAGATTCTTGTAAATCGGCCACGGCTTCGTCGCCGGTCGCGCCGCTCTTCTGTTCGGCTTCCTGACGGAAGCCCATGTTGAACTTTTGTCGCAGAACATCTTCCCACTTCGCCAACTCATTGTTGCCGAGCAGTTCGTCTGCAGCCTGTACCTCTTCGTTGTGTTTGGCCAGATAAGTCTCCGTCATGGTTCCCGGAACATAGGAAGAAAACTCCATAGACGGAGCTTCCGATCTCAGCTTTTTGGGGCACATTTCCATGGAGGAACCGCGGCCTATGGAATCAATCAAGAGCCCTGCTCTCCGCCGCTTGCCGTGCGCTTTAGGCGGCTCGATTTGTATCGAAACAAGAACATTGTCGACAAGAGCAACGACGAGGTCTTGACTGCGTAGGTAAGTGAGGAGCTGACAAGTTCGAGGCGATTGGCTCTCCAACGGTAGTTCAGATAGGTCTAAAGCGGCTTTTGCGTGAATAGAGCGGTGCTGGTAGTTGAAGAGGCTCAACGAGTCCAAGGAAGTTGACAAGAGAAACGGCCTCGAGAGGCGAAGAAATGACTCGGCACCTTCCACCTGGATTGCCGACTTTTGTTTCGGCACGGCACCGCCGAGATCGTAAATGCTGGCAGAGCCTGGGAAGAGTTCCAGGAGCAGGCCTGACTGGATGTCAACCTGATATGTCGTCTGCTCGTCACCACCGCCAGATGTCCCAATAGGGGTGACGTCGAGCGGAATCAACTTTTGCAAGCCTGCAGAGTTGGAGGAATTCCCAGGCATCGCAGCAAGCACTACCAAATGGCGGGTCATTCGTTCCTGGCTCATGCTCTTGGTTACCATGACGAATAGCGTAGGCTCGAGGCCCTTGGGTAGGGCGCTGAAAACTTCAAGTCGGTTCTTGAACATGCCGTCCCTGAGTTCGGCCAGGCTTGTCGACGACACATACTCGACCTCGAAGTGGTCAATAGCCCCAGCAACGACATCCTGGACGGCCGACTTGGACGAGGCTGACCACTGAACCGAGAGGGATTCGCCAGAGAGGTAGACGAGCTCTCCACTTTCGCAGACGGCGACGACGTCCCCAATCGGTGAAGACTGAGCTGGCGTCGGGGAGCCAGCAATGTATCTGACGGGCGAGGCTGGCAGCGTTTGGGTCGAAGTCGTCGAAGTTGTCTTGCCATCGGGATGCACAACGTCTTTGAAGAGCGTCATTTTGCGGGACGAGCCATTCTTGGTGGATATAAAGGTGCATCGCAGTATATCGTTGCTGGTCGAGTGTCGGGCTCTGACTGAATACGGAGGGCAGGTGAAGGAGTCTTGCGGCGGAATTGGGTACGACGTGATGAGCCGCGATGCCGGGACCTGTCTCCGAGTTAGAATCCCGCATCATGGGCGAGTCTGCAGAGTCCATACATTGTACACGCTCGCAGTCTCTCCGTCGATGCCCACAGCCAGCTCGGTTCGCTTCCTCCCCTTCTGGCCGTACACTTCTCGAGCGACTATTCTGCCGTCGGTGTGGTCCAACGGCCGGGGCAGGGCGGCCAAGACATATGGCCGGTGTATCCTGTATTCAGATGCCATTGTGATTCCGGTAGCTTGTTCGAGGAAAGGCCCCTTGCTTGGTATGCTGATCTGCGGCCAGATTCCGGCTCGTCGCGAGATTGTCCAAATCGCAATTGCGAGCCCTCATTTTCTCAAGTCGATCAGCTGCCTTTTCGGAGGGGAAGAAAAAAAAACCTGGGAGCGGGCCGGCGAAAGATCCGGTGGGGGGAGCCATCGAGGTGGGGCGCATTTATGATACCTACCTAAGGTAATTCGATAATTGGTTGGGGCCGGTACGTACCGTCGAGGGCCAGGCGCGCGCGTCTTGCTTAACGCGTGTGCTCTGCTGCATGCAATATAACGCGGTCTTTGCATATCCAGCGCAACAACCAAACTCATCGTCCTCAAGCCCTACACAAATCGACTCCTCACCCCTGGCTCCTGCCTGCCGCATCCCATTACTTCAGCAATGGACGTCTTCTGCGGCTAAATATCGATATACGGCATCCTCCTCCTCCGACCTAGACCGATCCATGCCGACCTAGTTGATCCCCAGCTGGTCTTGTGAACCTCAATGGAGCCAGTTTTGGTCGCCACCATGGCTCAAGGCGGCGTTGAAGAGCCATCTTCAGAAAAGCTTCACCCCTTCTTCATCAGGGGCGCCGGTAGCGACGCGCCCTCGACATCATCCGAAATCTGCACCGCGAGCTCTGCCAGCGGCCCAGCAACCGAGAACCCCATGCTGGATTCGGGCGACGATGATCGCCGCAAGAAGAGGCGCAAGACCGAATCCTCCCCATCCCAGGCCGGTTCTGAGGCAAAGAAGATCCGGAGAAGGAGGAGGAAAAATGAAGGGCTCGACAGTCCTTCGGCGGGCGCTGGCATCATAAGCCACCTGGTCAGGGCCGACCCGTCTCCATTAAACACAGCTTCGATGACTGCCACGCCTCCAGATGGCAACGCTGACCTACTGACACCGCTAAGCGACACACTAGCCCGGCAGCCCACCAGATCCGTGACGGCCGCCTCGACAACCAACGCGAAGCTTCAGGATAAATCGCAGCAGGCACCAAAGGTCCTCAAGTTCAATCCAAAAACCGGCACACTTGGATCGCCGCCGCAACCCAAGCAAAGCAAAGGTCCATCCATGGTCGTTTGCATTAGATATGGACGAGATGATCAAACCAGGCAAGCTATTGGTGCCAAGGTCACACAGATTCTCAGCGGCGAGCTGCAGATTCTAAGCGGCGAGCTGCAGATTCCAAGCACCCCGACGAGGAAGCGTGGGGTCCGAGCCTCTGCAGTCCCCAAGAACCTGTCGGCAGTCAAAGGAGAGGGGGAAAATTCCCTACACCCCTTTTTCACCGGCAGGTCGAAGCCGCCCCCACCCTCGGAGCAGAGTGAATCCGTCGTTTCTACCAAGAAGAATAATGAGCCGAAGTGTTCCGTGTTCATGTCGACGCCAGTCTCCCCTCGAAAGCCGAGAAAACTATTTGCTTCGGACGACGCGAATAAGGCAGCGCAGTTTGGTATGAAGTCACCGGGAACTAAAATCCCCGGTGCCATGCTTCCGATGTGGCCCGCCGCCGGCATGAGCCATGTTCGCGGTGGAGATGGGTGCAGCAGCAACGGACCGAATATCTTGTCCCAGGACGAGCTATGCAAGAAGTCCAAGGGCTACGTCATAACAATCACGCCACCGGAGTCTTTGTTAACTTATCTGGTTGACCAGATGCATCTGGATTCGGTACGCAAAAACCTACCCAGGGATGAGGGCAGCTTTGCGCCGGCTCCTGCCGAACTACGTCTTCCTCGGAGGCGCTTCGAAAGCGGGCGAAGGCTTCAGAATCGCATCAGATCGCGTTTAGCAATGTCCTCGGCCGCGCTCACCACCGTCGACGACTCGAGTCAGGACGAGCTCTCGGTAGCCCCATCGCCTAGGGCGCATCCAGCCATATCCTGCCATTACCAGTCATTACCGACGACCCTTTCAGCATTCGACAAATCAAGCTGTGAGGGCCTTTCTTGGACCCAAAAATACGCCCCAGCGACGGCAGCGCAGGTACTACAGACCGGAAAGGAGACATCTCTTCTCAAACAGTGGCTCGAGGCTCTCAAGGTTCAGTCTGTCGAATCTGGAGGCGATACGGGCGGCGACAAGAAGGCGAAATCGGAAACGACTCTTAAAAAGAAGAAGAGGAAAGCCAAACTTGAAGGCTTTGTCGTTGATAGTGACGATGAGGCAAGCGAGCTGGGTGAGCTCTCTGATGTTGAGGACGACGGGAATGCTGCGGGCTCGGGGCTGATTAAGAGATCGGTTATCCGAGCTGCAGAAGCCTCGTCTAGGAACTCGAGAGCCTCGGGCAGGCTGAGGAACACCGTTGTCATCAGCGGCCCTCATGGCTGTGGAAAGACGGCTTCTGTGTATGCGGTGGCCAAAGAGCTCGGATTTGAAATATTCGAGCTTAACCCTGGCAGCCGCAGAAGTGGCAAGGACATACTGGAGAAGGTTGGCGACATGACACGCAATCACTTAGTCCAGCACCATCGGGCTCAAGCCGCAGGGGCCGACGGCGAGACCGACGAACCCGCAGAGCATTCGAATTCAGCCAAGCAGGGGATGATGACGTCCTTTTTCAAGCCAAAGCCCACTGCCAACGTGAATCACCAAGTGGGCAATAAGGCCAAGGAGGAGCCGGAGAAATCGACAAAGGGGTCTTCGCCAAAGTCCCAGAAGCAGTCCCTCATCCTTCTCGAGGAGGCCGATGTGCTGTACGAGGAAGACAAGCAATTCTGGACAACGCTCATGACGATGATGATGCAGTCCAAGCGGCCCTTTGTTGTGACTTGCAACGACGAGAACCTCATACCGATCCAGAGTCTGAGCCTGCACGGCATATTCCGCTTCTCGGCGCCCCCGGCAAGCCTTGCCGTCGATCTCTGCCTTCTCATCGCTGCAAACGAAGGACATGCCCTGGGGAGGTTAGCCGTTGAGTCGCTATACCGCTCCCGAGGTGAAGACTTGAGAGCGACAATCTCCGAGCTCAACTTCTGGTGCCAGATCGGAATAGGCGATCGGAAGGGCGGCTTTGACTGGTTTTACCCTCGCTGGCCTAAAGGATCTGATCTCGACGATAACGGCGATGTGGTCAGAGTCATCAGCGATGGCACCTACCTTCATGGAATGGGCTGGATTGGACGCGACCTGATCGCCACGACCCCAGAGCCCCTGGCGATGGAGGAGGAGGCCCTGCGCCAAGCCTGGAACTCATGGCAAATGGACATGGGTGATTGGTGTGATTCACACGATGCGACCAAGGCGACCGCAAACACGGCCCCGTTGTCGTCTTCCCTCTCCAACGGTGGCATCAAAGCTCTGGCTGCCTACGAGGACTTCTGCGGCGTGATGAGCGACGCAGACATTTGCTCAAGGGGCGCCTTTGGCTCAAAGCTGGAGGAGCAGATGGATCCGACTCTGCCGGAGCTGGCCACTGGCGCCAGGGACGACTTCATCGTCGGGCTCACGCTCCTGCAGGCGGACGCCGCGGCGCTCCCGACTCCGGCGAGCGCGGCAGAGGCAATTACGATCAAGTCATTCGCACGACAGGTCCTCCTCCGCGCTACAACAGGTTGGAGTACAACTGGGGACGACGAAGCGTTGGCGCCCGTGGACGAGGGCAAGGCTGTCTCCGTCCTGGATTCGTCGTTTCAAGCGCGCCGCCACCAACTGACGCGGCAAAACATCTCGCTGGCCTTTGACCCCATCGCCGTCTCCGCCAAGGCCCCGCCGTCCTCGCACCTCGACCCCTCCGTCTTCGACCGCCCCATGAAGCCCATCATCCTCGACGTTGCGCCCTGGGTCCGCGGTATCATCGCCTTTGAGCACCGCCTGATGCAGGAGCGGCTCAAGCTCAGCAGCCTGCTCAGCGAGGGCGGCGTCGACACGACGGCGACGGCGAGGAAGAAGCGCATGCGCACGACGCGCTCGGCCTACTCGGCGCTCGAGGGCAGCGAGCGCAGGACCACGCGCAGGGAGAGGTACTTTGGCAACTCCCTCGTCACGGGCGTAGTGATGCGAACCGGGGCTGCGTCCTTTCAAGACGCGGCTGCGGCGGATAGGTCCAGCCAAGGCGATGTTCTTATTCAGGGGCAATCCCCATACAGTCCGCGCACTGTCCGCAGCGAGTCCCCGTGACGGACAAAGCAGCGGGTAGCCCGCGCGCACACCCGACGATCGTGCGCATGTGTGCGTGCCGTGTACTGGGGTAGCATGACTGGCGTTTGGTTGGGCATGTATTGGATAGAGCAAATATCGCTACTTGTTCCACAGGACAAGACAGTGTAGCACGGGAGGGATAAAGACCAAGGGAGGGGGATCGGTTCCGGGGAAAAAACACGCGGTGATGAAATCCATTCTCATAGTCACGTCTCTAGCAAGCTTCCGGGAACATGCAGTGCCTTATCCGAACGCCAGCAAACGCAGTAGCAGACTCTGTGTCCCCATCTCCCGTTTGCACTTCATCCACTTCCCCAACCGCTACATGTTGACGCCATGAATCACCATGCAAACCAGCCCCCCGTCTTCTCACCAAAGGGCACCAAGCCCGTCGTCAAAAACGCCCGTCACCTCTTTCTCTCCAATACCGTACCCAACACGTAGACCATTTCGTCGCGATGGGCCACGGTCCCGTCCCTGCGGAAGCGCATCGTGTCGTGGTACCACTCGCCGTCGTCAGACTCGTGCGCACGCTCCGTGTTGCGCCGTCGCCCACGCTCTTCGGAGCGGCCCCTCTCGGGAGTCTTGGCCTCCTGCTCCTCCCTGTGAAGTGGCGCTGCCGTGCCCTTGCGTCCTCGCGAGGGGGGCCGGTTGTCCCCGCCGGCGCCGGGGCCATTGGCGCCGGACATGAGAAACGGGTCTTTGTCGTGTACGCCGTCGTCGTCGTCGTCGTCGAGACGCTGGTTTCTGCCCCTGCTGCGCTCGCGAGGGTCTGGGTGGCTGGGAGTGTAGTAGTGCTTGGTGCGAACCATCTCCTCTTCCTCGTATGCGTCGCCGGGTCCAAAAGTGACACGCCTCCAAGTCTGCATCACACTGCGCCTCTCATATCCGGGGGGTGATGGCGGGCGTTGCCCACGCAGGGCCAAGGGGCCGGCGCGTGCGTCGGAGCCGAGGCCGGCACCGGACGCCGGGCCTGGATGTGGAGTGGGTGAGCGTCGAGGCAATTGACCCCGCGGTGCCGGGCGACTCATGATGTGTCGGTTGTAGAGTTGATTGATCGTTGGGCTTTACGGGCAGCACAGGATTCCAGCTGGTCAGAGACGGCAGGTTGATGATCCAAAGCGTTCGGCAAGTGAGCAAAAGGGTCAAGAGGTTCGAGGCGCGTCCTGCGAGGGATAAATAAGCCAAGGCAAACCGTCGGGGTAGATGTTCAGACGCAGTTCATTTCGAAGCCCGTGTAGTCGTCACGTTTAGCGTAAACGGCGGGGGGGGACACTGGGAGTTCAGCATACACATGCACGGCAAGATCTCGAGTCCTTCCTACACCCAGGAGGGGGAACAAGGTTGCGGCACGAGAAACGACTGGCGGCAAGAGCTTTTAAGCGAGGTCCCTTTCCAGTAGAGAGAGAGGATGAAGCTGTTCATCACCAACCGGCGAACAGGCGACGAACGACAAGCCGTTCGGATCAAATTGCTATCATCGAGCATATCGGGCCCCGGGATGAAAGCGTGACGGCTTGGTGGGCGGAAGAGTCCATCTCGTACGAGGCCCTCTGCATCCAGACACCCCAGCGTTCCTCGCGGCTGCTGTCGGCATCCACCGTTGGGCAGAGAGGCTCAAGACGGACAAACCCTTGCGTCGTTCCCCCTTCTCCTCGCAAACACCTTTGCGTGCGGGGCGAGGGGGGAGAGAATCCAGTCAACATGAAGACGAAGCCATATTCAGCTCCTCCCTCACACGGTAGTGGGGACAAAAGCCTCGCGTGGTGAATCGAAACCCGTCGACGCGGCTCCTCGCCTTGGCCATGATCAAACGCGGCGGTGACAGCAGGTGCGAGCACAGGGCGTACACAAGTCAGGCGACCGACCCATTGGATAGATGGAGGAAAAGTAGGCGGTCAAGTCGTTGGACTCAGCATCGCCCGAGCAGGCTGATGTGCGTTCTCTACCTTTGCACATTCGAGTGAGCTAGCGAGTCGGGTCCAGCACCTCCCTCCGTCTAGGAAGAAGAGGTGAGACCTCTGATAAAGGTGGGGGGCAAAGAGGCCATCTGTCGCTGGCGCTTGGCGAGTAATCAAGGGGATTCGCGGCATGTGCGTGGCGTTTTGTTGTCCGTCTGCTTTCTTGGATAGGCAAATTAAGACGCTCGTGGCTCGCGCGGGCTGAAAACGGGCTCGATGCCATGCAGACGGTTCAGCGACATTGCTGCGTCCGAGAGCCAGGGGGTTCCCCTCGTCGTCTAGTCGAGTGGCATAAAGGGAGCGGCAAACCGGCTGGCCACCGCACGACGACAAAGCACGGCGCACCAGCCTTGAGGGCAAAACCGAGCGACCAGGGAAACCAAGAACGGACTGCTGATGGACAAAGGAACAAGTGCTTGGGGATGCTGCCTGTCGCCTGGCCTTGAACCTCAAATCGACGCCTTTGGCTCGCTGCACGTCTGCAACATTCGGCATGCAGCCCTTTCGTATTCGTGCCGCCTGCCGAGCATGGATATACATTTGTGTCCTCGCATATATATCGTCATGCCAATGTCCTTGCGCATGTGGAGACTTCGACTCAGCCAGCATAGGGCCTCGGCACCACGATTCCACGCGCATGAGTGTACTGCAATGAATAGTAAATAATCCATGGTAATAAATTGCTCAACCTCACCGCACCTCTTTCTCCTGCCTTTGGCATCTCCGTTCCACAACTCAGACGTTGGAGAGCAGACTTGGCTGCACAGGCATTGTCCATACAACTGTCTCACGGCCATCAATAGTAATAGTCGTGCCTCGTGCCTACCCGCTCAGTGGAGGCTCGGGCACGCCGGTTGTGGCCAGAGATCCCCCCCCCCCCGACGAATGGTGGGTTGAGCGCTGAACCATGAGATTCGCCGAGCACGCGCCCGCTTGGATGACTTTGGCCATGGCAGCCCTCGGGGGCCTCGTCGTTCAAAATCCGGTCATATGTACGAGTACAGGATCAGTCTCGTCCTCGCGGAGACCCAGCTCCCAGGAGGACCCGGGCGGGGCATCCATCACCGGCATTACGCCCAGCAGCCCCAAAGCCCGGGTACCGGGTCGAGCATGATTTTCTGGCCCATGCCAGGAAAGTTGGCGAGAGAGAAAAACACCTTCACCTCAAGAATGAGTCGACGGCTGGGAGGTCTACCGAAAACACACAACACACATGCTTGTGCCTCGATGAGAACCGGCGTAAAAGCATTCGAGACGGTATCGTCCGCCGAGCACTAGTTCATCATGTAATTGATCATGTGTAACAATATCCAGTGGTATTGAAATGTTGAAGTTCTCTCCATCAAGCCATCTTAGACAGCCCCGATTGTCGGGTGCTCTGACGCAAGCATAGCCAAGGGGTAAGAGCCACACTCGGTGTAATCGCTCGAATTCGCTGGGTGGTTAACATAGAGTCGTGTGCATGATATCATCACGGCGCGGTCCGTTGGGCATTGAGACGCCGTGGTCGGTCCGAGGGTGTCAACACTGAGTGCGGGCGCCGACGGTGTTGCTTGCACAGGACGCCTTGAGCTGTGGGGAAGACCGAGATCACCGCCGAGCGTTGCGTCTCAACAATTTTCCTCCTCACGAACCGGCCGAAAAGGATTTCTGACGGTGCGGCTCTTGGGTATTCCTCCAGCATGTTCATGCAAAAAAAGTGAGAGGAAATGGGGCGATTAGACCGCAAGACGAGGTCTCTGCCACTGGTTTCGATGACAACTGCCAAAGACCCCTCCCTACCAATGCAACGGACTCTGCGATACCAGCGCGGGGTGGCGCAAAGGGGGCGTTGAATAATCCAAGGCCGTGACTCGTCATATGGATCAGCAGGCACGGATGCTGCATGTTAGTGCTGTTGTCGTAGACCACGACTCCTGTCTGTGCCGGTAGACCCCAAATGAGCGGATCCCGGAGTGCAGCGGAGGTAGACATTTTAGCATGACTGTGTTCACGGCCAGACTTCATCTGGCCAGTGGGACGAGCATGCCTTGTCCTCGAGGGGACAGTCCATCTCACTCGCTGGAGCAAGACATCATCGGAGGAGAAGCATGTCGGGCGACGCTGCTGCCGGCTGGTCGGTCACCAAAGGTATTCGGTCGCGAGACGGCTTGCTTGGCGTCGTGATGGGGCCACTCCTGGCGTTGCCGGCCCTGGCCACAGGAAAAGAGCTCAGCCGTGCCTTGGCTAGGGGGGATGGATGGAAAGCATCGCTAATTGCCAGTTTCAGGAGAAAGCCACAGGCGCTGGACAGGAAGAGGTTCGAGGACCCAAATGAGAAACACGACCAATCTGCTGCGGTGCGTTAGGCGAGACCTGGCACACGAGGCCGTCTCTTTCGCCTCCCCGCGGGGCTGAAAGAGGGAGCGGCTTGAAGGGGAAAGGGGTAAAACGCACATTTTTAGGGGGCCAAGACGAAGGCTAGAGCATCCCAGTGCTGCTCACCTGAGTCGTCGTTAGTGGCTTGCGAGGAAGCATGATTTGCCAGAGTCAGATGGCAAAAGAGGGGGTAAAGGCCGGCATGATCTAGGCCGTGGATAGATGCATGCGCATGGCACGGTGCGACGCTCACCCGCCTGGTGATGGAGAGAGACGCGTGTCGTCGGATAGCTGCTTCATCAGCGGGAGCCCTGAGGGATGGAATACGAGAGGAAGCTATGGTCTGCCGACAGACAGACCTGATGCTTGGTGGCGGCCGTCGTGATGCAATATTACGAGGCCTCGAGACAAGCAAAATGGAGGGTCAGTCCTTAGCACGCCGGCTGACGGGGGGGGGGGCCATCGGCAGCGCGGCTTGGTGGGCAGGATCCCATCACGAGCTGTCGGGGCAATGGCATCGCTCTGGTCCGGATGATGCCATGTCCTGCGGGGGTCAGCGAGCCGGTTCCCACGCCCATGTCGGGAGAAGGGCGGTACGACGAGGCAGACAAGGCGACTTGAGATGGGGACTTGGGTACGGGGTCAGTGCCCCGATACATTCATCTGACCTTGATCATTACACTACTGTACTATCGGGTACCTGCGAGCGCGGGCGGCCGGGCCTGCACAGCTGACGGCCAAGGTGCCTTAGTAATATGGCAAGCCAACTGTCTTCGTGCAAACCTGGCCTCCATCAACACATTGTGCTCAGAGATTCCATCACACACACACTCGGACAGTAATGTGCCGTACATCAGTCCACGCAAGCCGAAGGGGCTACGCCAGCGAGCGAGGCGCGTGCCTTTTGCCCGCCCTGGCTTGGGCGCATCCGACTCGCTGGCCAAAGGGTTACCGCTCACTCCCCCTCGGACCCATCTCCCCTCGGATCATCCAAGCCAGGGCAAAGGAGACATCCGTGTGGGATGCTCCCGGCGGCCAATGACGGGCAGCGAGGCCACATGCAAGTGGTGCACGGAACGTCGCATGTTGAGAGGCATGCCAGCACAGGGTTGGTGTCGGGCCTACAGCATACGCATCTTGATGACAAGGACAATCATGCGGCAAAGACATCAAGGGAACTAGCGAGCCAAGCGGCGTTTTAGTGGTCCGTCTCTTTTGCCAGGCCCAAGACCCAACCGGGTAGGTGACGGACAAAACAAAGGCAACGTCATGTGCCTCAGCCTCGGCGCCTAAAGTCGAAGCGAGTTGCACTGTCGGGAACTGGGGTCGCTACCAACCGACATTGTGGTTGGCTGGGCCATGAGGGAGGCATTCCTCTGGGTGCCGTGATCCCTTTAGATGATGACGGATGCGTGATACCACGGGAGTGGGGGGCGAAACAACCCCGAGGCATTGGGTTTCGGCGGCTGCGACGGGTAAACGCCAGAAGAGAGACTGGTTACGAAAACCATGACATGAACGCTCCAAAACCACCACCAACCGCAAGCGCCAGAGGCAGCCGCCGCCGAAATCCTGCTGCTGCCTTTCGGGGCCGTTCGGGGGTCATGCCAGCGCGGTCCGGTGGGCCCTGCGACAACCGGAGAGCATCCTCCCGTGTCCATCCAGCATAATGCAGTATGTACATGGATCACATAACCTCTGCACGTCGGGCC